CTCTCTCTCTCTCTCTCTCTCTCTCTCTCTCTCTCTCTCTCTCTCTCACACACACACACACACACACACACATACACACACGATGGATGGATAGATAGATAGATAGATAGATAGATAGATATGGATATAGATATCTTTAAAAACAAATAAGCATGCCCATGGGTTTTCTCTACAAATTAGAGTCTGTTTACTTCTTATGGCAAATGTAGGTCAGGTTTGAAGACCTGGGTTCCATTCCTGATGCTGCCGCCACCTCAGAGAAGCCTTGGGCTTCCTTAGAGGTTGTGTTGAGAGCATAGACTCTGAAGCCAGTCTGCCTGGGCAAAACACCTGCTGGACAACATGCCCACAGATAAGATTAACACTCTCCCAAGTTAGATACTGTCCAACAAGAAAACAGAGTGGAAAGCAGGTGGGGGACAGGGTTCTAGGCTCTGCCTTCTAGCAGGAAAGAGAGCTGTTAAGCTTTATTTTGCCCAGTTCCAGTTGCTCCCAGATTTACTTGATTTCAGAGTTCATCTCTCAGAGAGTGTCTTAAGAGCCTGAGGTTCTCATAGAATTTGAGAACTATTCCTTTAGCCTTGACAGGTGTAGGAAAGAGAGCCCACTGACTGTCACCTCATGTGAATGGCTTACTCTGTCTTCTCAGAGTTTCCCTGGGATGGTGCTCAGGCTCCAGAAAGCCCTTGATGGACAGATCTGGTTTGCTCTACTATCTTTTTGTGTTTTTGAGATGATAACTCACCTTACTTCAGGTTGGCCTGTATCTCAGTCACTGATCTATTGTTGTGAAGAGACACCAATGACCAAGGCAAGACTTACAGAAGAAAGCATTTAATTCAGAACTTAGGGTTTCAGAGTTAGTCCATCATCATCATGGCGGGGAGCTTGGCACCAGAGCAGCAGCGGAGAGCTACATCCTGATCCATTGTCACAGACACAGACACACACACAGACACACACACAGACACACACAGACACACAGACACAGACACAGACACACACACACACACACACACACACACACACACACTGGGATTGGTGTGAGCTCTTGAAACCTCAAAGCCCACAGACACATTTCCTCCAACAAGGCCACACTTCCTTATCCTTCTCAAGTCATGCCACTCCCTGATGACTAAGCATTCAAATATATGGGCCTATAAGGACCGTCCTCACTCCACATTCTGGAACTCTTTATGGAACCAAGTAGCTTTGAATTCACAACAGTGCAGCTGCCTCAGCCTTCCCCTCAGCTTCAGCTGGACTGGAGCTGTGAACGCCTATGCCCGCTTTCATCCTACTGTTCTTTATTATCTATCTCCTTTGATCCTAAATCTTGAGAAGGGGAGAGAAGGAAAAGGTAGATGTGTGTGATCTGTGATTTATGGCTGTCACCTGCAAACACGTTTGTGCCTCTCACTCCCAGGTGGCCAGGATGCTCAATGGCAGTTTCTAGACAAAGCTGAAGCTAACCTAATCTATTTGTCCATCTGCTTGCCCGTGGAAATGAGCCTCAGTCCAAAATCCCACAGCCTTTCTGAGAACCCACCCTTTCTCTCCAAGTTCTCTCCCCTGGAACACTCATTGAGAGCTCGGGGTCTTTTATCCCTTTCCCTCTCAGGGCTCCCTTTTCCCATCCAATGATGAGACACGGTGAGAGAGTGAGTTGAACTAAATCAGTGTGTTCCTATTATTATTGTTGCTGTTGCTGCTGCTGCTGCTGTTGTTGTTGTTGTTGTTGTTGTTGTACTAGGGGTTGAAGCTAGGGCCTCACATATTCAGGGCAAGTGCTTCACCCTCTTTCCCACCTTCTCAATGCTGGCCACAGACCGGGGTCAGCAAAGAGTCTAATGAATGAGAGGATGTGTGGTGAACAGATAGGAGACATCTGCCCTTAGCCCTGCATGACAAACTGACACATCTGTCCAGGTTCACAAGGATAAAGAGGAGTCCCTGCTCACTCCAGGAAAGTGTGCCAGAACTGAACAAAAGAGCTGAGCTAGTGTTTAAGGCTTGGCCTTGGGCTTCCTATTGAGTTTGGAAGACCTGAGGGGATATCTCCTTATGACCCAAGGATACTGTGCCATCAAGAGTCTGGTTGGTGGGTTTTTTTGTTTGTTTGTTTTTTGAGAGTAGACACTCCCCATGGAGGAGGGCTCAGTCACTGATGTTACTGACCCACCTGGGCAAGCCCCTCCTCTTCCATATGGTCTCTAATGGCCTTTCCAGCCTGTGAGCCCTGTAGGTAGCCCCAGGAGGTCTCTGGAGGCAGCTGCTGAAGAACATTGGGAAGTGGGATCTCTGTGTCCAAGCATCCTGTGATGGAGATTCTCTTCTCTTTCAGATGCATTTCATCTTCTCAGATGAGGCCGTACTTCTCTTTGATTTCTGGAGAGTCCACAGCCCTACAGGTAAGAATTGGGAAGGTCAAACTTGTAGTTTGGCAAACCTATTGTCCAGGCAGCAGAGAACCTGGGTTCTCTTTATTTTCTGTGGACAAGCAAGCCACAGTGAGCTCGAAATTCACATTTATCATTTGAAAACAGGTTAGAAATCGGTCAGATGCCTGTCATGACAGATGAGCCCTTCCCTTCAGTGGATGGCCATTGTCCAGCTACTCCTGCAGACTAAGCAGTGGGGTAGTATCTTCCCAAGATTCTGTGGGTTGACTGTGCTAAGTGGTCTGCACTCAGGGCCTTATGCAGTAGAGCCAGACAGTGGCTGGATACAGTCTTCTTGAGAGTGTTTCATGCCTTGTACTGGTTGTGAACTACAGCCTCAGCTGGGTCTCGAGTCTGAGCCTCACAGTGGCACCCCCAGTAGCCTAGGCTTCCTCATAGCAGAATGGCTACCTTCTAAGTCAAGTATCCTAAGAGAACACAGGTGAAATGCACGAGATTTTAAAAACCTACCCTAGGGGCTGGGGAGATGGCTCAGTCAGTAAAGAGCTTGCTGAGAAAGCATGGATACCTAAATTTGACTCCCAGCAACCATATAAAAGGTGGACATGGCAGCATGCACCCATAATCCTAGCATTGAAGAGTTAGAGGCAGGAGGATTCCTGGGGCTTGCTACCCAGACATCTTATTTTAGCTTCAACAAGAGATTCAGTATCAAAAACAAGGTAGAGAGCAATAGAAGAGGTCCCCTAGTGTTGACCCCAGCTTCTACACATGTTTTTAACAAAATCTCAATAATTCGAGTTTGGCAATGAAGACCTGGGAGCCAGATGCTGAGGTGAAAGCCTGCTAGCTCAGAGAGGCAGTGAAAGCACCCAGCTGACCTTCTTCCATAGCTGTCATCTCAAAAGGAAACTCCTCCAAGACCTCTCAAAACCCCCTCAAACTGATGTCCCTCCCACTTCCCTTCTACCCATCCTCCTGACCTCCTCTTACTCTATGGTTTTTCCTATGTTCACTCCCCATCAACTGGTTGCTTGCCTCACCTCTTGACCTATGGTTGACTATATTCAATCCTGTTTACAACAAGCAGAAAGCTCTTGGATTAAAGATGTGTGCTGGAGCTGAGCCATACCACAACTAGAAACAGGGTTTTGCAGTAAATAAGACAATTTAGGGGTTCACAGTGTGACCAAATATCCTGTAGCATGCACACTCTCACACATACATGCACACATGAACAAATACATACATACACACACATACATACATACATACACACACACACACATACACACAAATACACACACACACATGCACGTAAAACTTAAGTTAGAAGTTACATAGCATTATCCTAGCCTTAATGACTGACCCTTTGACTCTTCTAGGCTAAAGGAAAGGAACATGGCTCCCATCCCATGCTGGAAGGAGGGTGTGGGTAGGATATATGGGATGAACCTATAAGATGGTGAAGGTCTGAGCCTAATGAAGGTGAGGAAGAGACAGGTGGCTGGAGTGGATTCAGAGGGATGAGGAATGGGCTCTCCTGCCTCCTGGGAAGTGTCCAGAGGAGAAGCAGTATTTGCCTGGCCAGCTCTGCAACTTGGCTTTCTTGTTCTGGGGCATTGCAGACCAGGCCTTGGACCTCACTTGTGTTGGGCAAGCACTCTGTTTCCAGGCCTTTTTACATTTTGAGATATAGTCTCACTAAGTTTAGAATGGCCTAGAATCCACTCTGTAGTCCAGGGAAGCCCTGAACTCGCAGTTCGTCTGCCTCAGCCATCAGAGGACCTGGAATTACGTACATGCTGTGTCTAACATCCAGCTTGCTTCTTTGTTTATACGCACTTGCACAAATGTGCATGTGTACTTATGTGTGGAAGTAGATTTGCTTATGTGTGCATGTGCATGTCCTTGGCTATCATTTATCACATGACATTTTTGTTGTTTTTGAGACACAGGTTCTAACTGGCTTGCCTCTACAAGCTAGGTTGGGCTAGCCAGCGAGCCCATGAATCTGGTTGTGTCTGCTTCCTCAGCGCTGGGAATGCAAGCTTGTGTCCGTGCTTGGCAGTGGCTGCTGCTATTCCTCCTCCTCTTCTTCCCCTTTCCCTTCTTCCTCTTCCCCCCTTCTTGTCTTCCTTCTTCCTCCTTTTCCTTCCTTCCTTCCTTCTTTCCATCCTTCTCTTCTTCTCTCCTCCTTCTCAGAGCCCCACCTGCCTCTGCCTCTCAAGCACTGGCATTAAATGCACACGCCACCACACCTGACCAGTGTATTTATTTTGAATTAGCAAAAATTGTCCATCCTAAATGGTGCTTTGTGATGTTTCAGTACATGTACAGGTTGTGTGCTTTCAAGTCAGGACTAGCCCATCTGTCTCTTCAAACTTTTATCATTTGTTCATGATGAACATGTAAAACCCTTTCCTAGCTTTTTGGAAATGTGGCACACTGTCATTATCTGTAGTCACCATACAGGATGTGTGCACCAAAACGGACTTTTCAATTTGGCCTCTTCACAGGCATGGCTCTCTCAGTGCTGGTAGTCTTGCTCCTGGCTGTATTGTATGAGGGCATCAAGGTTGGCAAAGCCAAGTTGCTCCACAAGACTCTGGAGAGCCTGCCTACTACCACCAGCCAGCAGCTCATCTTGGAACCAGACCAGGATTCTACAGGCTCCAGATCAACTTCAGACAATAGGACCCGCCTCAGGTACAGATCCTAGGTGGAAGGAAGGCCAGAGCATTCACCCTCACCATGAGAGGTGGTTGGGTTCACCCAGAGAACTTTAGCACAGAAAGAGAATTTGGGCTCCAGGAAGTATTTAGTAAGAAGAACTAGATCCTGGGTCTATGGTGTCTGGGCCAAAGCTATCTATCAGTCAGCCTCCTGGGAGGATCCTAAGGATTTCTGCAGGGAACATCAAACCTGTACTGCAGACCTCTGTCAAACAGCAGGCATGGGCACCTGGCCTTCCCATAGGTCTTGCCAGGCTCTCAAACTTAGAAGATCTGCAGGTTTACTGAAGCAAGAACTGCCATCAGCCTGGTATCCCAAATTGGTGGGAGAGGGAGGCATCCTTTCTTCGGCTCTGGTCCCACTCTGATCAGGCAACCATTTACAGGCTCCAGGCAGCCCTCTCTGCAACCTCACATATGCTTAACAAGCCTGCCTGCTACATCACCAGCAACCTGACATAGATGCCTCACGCCCTCATAGCCACCCTGTGAGGGAGCTCTTTCAGTGTATTACTGATAAGAAAGTCAGGACTCAAAAAGGTTCAGAGACCTGTGGTAGGCTAGATTTACAGGCACCAAAGTCCCTCGTCTTTTCATTGCTGCCCCACCTCCCACATTCAATTCAGAGGAGAGACACTGCCTTCCCAGTGCTTTCCTCTTACCCTTATCAGACAAAATTGACTACATAAACCATAATGCTTTCCCCTTTTGCCTAGGATAGCAAGAAGCTTAGAGCTAAATGTGGTAGAGATGTCTCTTTGGAGAGAAGTCTCTGCTAGATGTTAGGCTATGACTTGGGCCTTCTCTCCCTAGTAAAACACATCTGCTCATTCCTATTCATCTAATTTGTCTCTCTTTTTATGTCTAGGTGGTTTTTGTGTTACTTTGGCCAGTCACTAGTCCATGTCATTCAGGTGGTAATTGGCTACTTTGTGATGCTGGCTGTCATGTCCTACAATACCTGGATTTTCCTCGGTGTGGTCCTGGGGTCAGCTGTGGGCTACTACCTAGCCTACCCACTTCTCAACATGACTTAGTGGGCCAGAGATGTGCAGTGCCGAGGGCTGGAGAGAGCTGGGGCCTCTGTTCCAGGCATTGCACTTCCAGCGGCTTTTCCTTATGATGGCCATTGCTTACCTTTTTCCCAGTTCCTGATGACTTTGAGATGAAGCAGCAAATGGTCCCTGGAGCTTAGAAGCCATTGAAGCTACCTCCCTCCTCAGCCTATATAGGGTCCAGGCCTCCTGTGGTGCCTTAAGCAAGTAGCTGTGACCAAAGGGAACATGGAGAGACTGGAAGCTGGAGGTAGCGTGGCCAGCCTGTGACATAGATCTCTGACTGCAAATTAAAGTTTTCCAAAGAGCTTCAGTGATAAAGGCCATGGAACCTGGATTTGTGCCTTATGTCAGGGTCATCGCCAGTCTTTGGGGGATGGACCATGCCAGCTCCTTGTTCTCACCCTTTTGCCTTGGAACACAGGGATTGTCATTGACAGAACAAGCTTTCCATTTTCAACTCCTGGTTGGCAATTTTGCACATTCATACAAAACAAAATTTCTAATGAACTCATTGTATTTAGGATGGATGCCAGTGTCTGTTGAGACTTGTCTTCCCTTCTTGAGGGAAGACTGATGCTAATTAAAGGCAGAGAGCCAGGACTGTTACTGAGGCTGTGGGCTTGTCTTCTGTGCAGATGAGCTCTTCCTGTCTGCCAGCAGTGCCTGCAAAGGGAAAGTGGTCAGGGCCTTGCCTGAGCCTCTTGTATGCACCACAGAGAACAGCACCTGGCAACAGAGCTGACCGCCCCTCCCTTATTTTTACTTACTGCTAACTGATCTTGTAGGAAATATGAGTCAGTCACTTTAATACTGACTCAGCAGGGGTGTGCTAGGGGCTGGGTACTGACTGAGGGTGCAATAGCAGTCAAACCAAAGCTAGGTCATTTTAAGAGTTAAGTGTACTGCAGATATTTGAGCCTTTTCAATTTACAGAGAAAGTTATGACCTGTAATCTTCAGTAACTTGGAGGCTGAGGCAGGAGATTGTGACTTTGAGGGCAACCTGGGCTACAAAGAGAGTTCCAGGTCAGCCTGAGATACACAGTGACACACACACACACACACACACACACACACACACACACACACACACGCTCACACACACACACACGCGACCATCACTGCTACATACTATATAATGTCTGTGTTCAAGTACCTCATGAGCTCAATGAAAAGATGGTTTTAAGAAGCTTTGGGAGTTAAAAACAAATACACTTTAATAAATTTCTATTTTTGAACAGTCTGTGTTTGTTGGTCTGTTTCTTCTCTTTCCAACAGTACACATTACCAATGCAGGAGCTGGGGGACACTGAGACACCAAGGACTAAGACTGCCTGTGATAAAGACACCTCTGTGTGCAGGGAAACCGAGGCTGGAAATGTGCCTGTAGGTAGATCAGTCATGTTAGGTTCATGTAACAAGTTACTGCTTGGAACAAGTGCCTGCTGTAACGAGTAGCTGTCATGCAGACCGTAAACACCCATGTTGGCATGACAGTCAGCACCTTCCCTTCCTGGGGGCAGAAGCAAAACCCTGGTCTTTTCATTTGCAGGAAGAAGCAAGCATCACAGAAGTGTGGAAGAGGGCACTGTGGGGTTGCTTGCTGCGTTCCCTCCATTCACACAGCAGCCATGCGCATAGCTGCCCACTCTTGTGGAGCTGTGACAGCCTGTGCTGACCAGCATCCGCTCCCAGGGCACTGCCGGGATAGACATTTTCATGAGTGATTGTCAGGTTTCTCAACTTAGTACTGTTTTATTACAGTCATGATATTTGAGACTTGTGGAGTAGGGGTCTTTATAAAAATTTCTGCCTATGGTCTATAGAATGAATATATGGTTAACACTTGGTAACATATGCCCTCATTTTAATATTCTTCAGAGCCAAGTCACAAAGGTGGTGCTTTTCCTGCTTAATTTTCTTATGCAATTATTACCTCATTCCATCCTCCCTACCACACAGGAACTCTGCCTTCATCCCAGAGATGAGGAAGCTGAGCATGAGACAGTCACCTGAAGATAAGCAGCACAGTGACACAGTGTTTCCTCATCAACTTTGATGAGGGGCAGAGGTCAGGCAGCACCTGTGATGTCACATAGCACCTGTGGTATACAGATGTGGGCTTAGACTGGAGATGAGGCTTATTACTTGTTACTTGGTTGGGGATTCTCTCAGATTGAGAGAGGTGGGGCCAGGAGCCTGAATTTTTCTTTTTTTCTTTAGTGCTAGAGTCAAATCTAGGGCATGTGCATGCTAGGCAAATGCTCTACCACTGAGATACACAGTCCTAGGACCAGTATTCCCAGCAAGCAAGATTGGCTCCGTCCCTCGGGCAAGGAGGATGGACAAGAGCTCGGCTCTTAATCAGCTGGACAGGATCAGAATTCTTGTCCTGTTTGCTAGTTATATAACTCTGGGCAGGTTACTCTGCTCCTCTAAGCCCACTTTCTCTTCTGTAAAATTGGGGTAACAAGGCAGAACCAATGGAACAGTTTGTTGCCCTTTTAGAGGGCTTGGGTTTGGTTCTCAGCACCCATAGTAGCTCATAACTGTAACACCCAGTTCCAGAGGCTCTGCTGCCTTCTTCTGGCATTTGCATACACACAGACACAGATTCAGGCCAAACACACATACATATCAAAAAAAAAGTCATCTTCTTAAAAATGGGGATAACAGTGTCTTCTGTAGTGACTGGTACTGTATAGAGACTGTCTCACTGCCATCAGCCACTGCAGAAGACACTGTTATCCACATTTTAAAGAGGAGAAAACTTAGACTTAGTGGTCAAAGTAACTTGTTTAAATAACCATTTAATACAGTCTTTCTTGATGCTTCCTAGGCCCAAATGTAGGGAACAGGAACAAAGCCACATGCAGGGGGAAGTTAGGATACAGTCTTACAAACATTTAAAACCATGGAACATTTTTGTTTATTCCTTTTTAAGATGGGCTGCATGGTCTTTGGAAGATCCTAGAATAAGTAAAAGGCCACAAATGTTTTCATCTTGCTCTTTTCTGCAATAGTGTCAACCCCCAGGGATTATAGGGACTAGAAGAATATGAGGAATCCCCTCCCTGCCCTGCCTGGCTCCTTAGCCTGTAGTATAACGTAGATCAGTGCAGGATTAGACTGGTCCTCAGATAACTACGATTCCCCCAAGCCTTATGACTCTTTTAAAACCTTCAAATTCAAGGACAGGTGCCAACGGAAATATATCACAGTGCATTTGTGCACATTAATTGACCCAGTTAAAACTCCCACCCTTAGGATCCCAATAAGGAACACAGCAGTCCTGGAAAGCAAACTCAGTTTCTTCTCAAGGGCCTGAGTCATGTTTTATTATAGATATTTTAGTCTTGTTAGTTCCAAATACCCATTGACCTCTTTTATAAGATTTAAGGCAGAGATAGAAGATACATGTCTCAGAGCCACAGGCTAGGCCAGCATGATTGATCTCTCAGTTCTGTGAGGAGGACCCTCCTGAGGGTCCTGGCTCTGTCGTAGCAGCTCTGATAAGCCCTGGGAGATCAGGAGGGCTTCCAGATCAACTTGAGAATGAATAATAAGAAAAAGCTTGGGAGAGATGGCAGGATGCTTGTGACTGGCTGCAGGCAACCCTCCCAGCCCTTCCTTCATGGTAGGGCCACTCACTGAGGGGTGTTACAACACCAGTTCTGCAGACAGCCTCATGATCCTCTTCAGCAGGTCAGGTGGGGGCTCAGATGGCAGCTAACTCAGACCCCTGAACCACTGTCCTCAGAATGTTCACCAGGAACTCACCCTGAGGCTCACCTAGACCTGAGGCCAGCTGTGCAAAACCATGCTTAGGGAAGGGCTGGGCGAGAAGCCTGCATGCCTGCTTCCTAGGTCTTCACCCCAGCCAGCCAATGTCATCGTCATCATCATCATCTCCAAAAAGGGGGGTTGGGGGCGGGCGTCCCTTCATGCTCTGACAAAACAGGAAAGACAGGTCAGATCTCCCTCATCCCTGCCCAGGTGGCTTCCTGCCTAGGAGGGGAAGTGGTCCAGGGTCTGTCCGGCCTCTGGCTGGAAAGGAGATGAACTGGAAGAACAGTTCTTGTGGCCAGAGAACTGAAGCATTTAGATAAAGGTGGAACAGGCAGGCACAGAGACAAAAGACCAACTTTACTTGGCTGAGTTTGTAGTTTATTTGTGAAACAAGTGTACTGATTGACAGATATGCCAACTTACACATTTCATGTGAAAAAGGAAGGGTCATTGAGGAGAGATGGGATAAGAGAAAGAAACAGAAGCAAAGCAGCCTGGGACCAGAGAATAAGGGAAGATGACAGTCATATCTGAAAGCTAGCTGAGGTGGCCAGTCAAACTCAAAAAAATGTGTATGTAGAGGCAAACTCAAGTGGAATATCCTAAGAGGTTAAGAAACAGCCTGCAAAGGCTGGGCCCATGCTCTCTCTAATGTGGAGTGGGATGAAGGGGCTAAGCGTGCTAGGACGCCTGAGTCTCAGCCAAAGGCTACACTGGTAAAGGTTCAAGGCCTCAGCTTGGTAGCATTGGGAGGTGGTGGGAACTTTGCTTTGGTGGGGCCCTGTAAAGTCTAAGATGATTAGAGGTTACCCTCAGAGCAGAGGGGAGCTCTGGCCCTCCTCCCTCAGTCTTTCACTTCTTTCTTTTCTCCTGCATTTTCTCTACACATATCTTTCCACAGGCCTAATAGCAATGGAGTGAACCTATCTTGGACTAAAACCTGTGAAACTGTGAGCCAAAATGCACTTCCTATCTTTGTGTACTTCCTGTGTCAGGTGTTTGGGCCAGTAACAATGCTCACTAGCACAAGGAGCCATGCAGGAGACTCTTCGACTCTTCACGATTCAAGCTCTGGCTTTTCCTCTGGTTTGCTAGGGTGACAACAGGGCCTGTGACTGCAGACAAGGATAACACTGGACTAATCTCTGAGGCATTTTCTTCTCTGTGAGCTTTTGCTAAGCAGGGAGCCAGGCCAGGGGAAGACTGGGTTCATCCTCTAGGCCATCTATTAGCAGACCTGTATTTCTCTCCAGGCATCAGCTAAGCAATCTTGAAAAGCACCCCTGCAGGACTATGAAATGTGGGCCGCAGCTTATGTTTTGTTCTGGCTAAGGGTCCGACTGGTATTTACTCATCATATAACCTGAGTTACATTATTTGATCTTCCTGAGCCTCAACTGTTAGTTCTATAGAACATATCAGTAGAAGGTTAAATGAGGACGTATTTTTCTGAGTACCCAAGAAACAGATTATTAACTAGATGGAACTGACAGTATTTCCTTCTATTTCTATGCAGAACTTGTACTTAGTATTCTCAAATGAAAACTTAATCCTTATGAAGGAAGACTAATGGGAAGAGTTGGTACACCTCTCCGAAGGCAGGCAAGAGGAAAGGGCTCTGATTCATCTGAGCTAGGTTCCAGGTGTCACTGCCTTCTGGTGAAAAGCAGAACACACTCCAGGTGGATGGTGTAAAAGGGCAATAGGCTCTGCCCATGTTCAGTCTCATAGTTTTGACCTGGGGATGGACTGAGGCTAATGCTCTTGTCTCCTCTACACACATTTCCTGACAGTGAAATTCCCATTACAGAGCCAGAATGGTCAAGTGTCAGATGCAAGCCAGGGCTCCAATCCCAGCTCTGTCAGCAACTTCCTTTGTTGTCCCTGCCTCTCCTGTTCCCTAAGCTGAAGCTACACTGTCAAGCTACATTGAAGCCACCTACTTCCCAGGGTGTTAAGAGGACAAACAAACAGCAGATTGGAAGTGGGCCAGGTGAGCAAACATTCTTAGAAACAAGTGGCCCCAAGAGCAGCTTCCTGAATGATCCTTCTGACCTGTCTCTCTGTCTAGAGATGAGGAGACCCAACAAGCCGATCTTTAGAGTCCTTCCCACCTTCCCTCACTCCAAATGGGAGACTCCCCAGGGCCTAGAGCTTATAGTGCCCTCTTAAGAGTACAGTGGCAGCTGGTCATCCCCACCATGCTTACAGAGCTGTCCACTCTGAGCCCCAAGCTTACTCCCACAGGGTCCTGTACACAGAGTCCAGGAGATAAGCCACCAACAGACTCCTTTTCGAATCTCTGAACCTGTAGGGAAGAGCCCCCAGGTGGTGGTGTGAGGACTCAGCAGAGCCTGAGATTTCCTTACCACCTCATCTTCATCCTCCTCCTCAGGCTGGGCTGTGGGTCTTGGAACTTTCAGAGTGGCCCCTTTAAACAGCTCGTCCTCTTCATCCCCAGAGAGACTGAAGGAGAATCAAGCCACAAATATGTTGCTGTTTCTGCCCAGGTCACAGGGCCCACCAACTTCAAGAGTTGATCCACTCACTCAATTAAAATCTCTCTTCCTACACTGTGCATCTGTTCCTCCAGAGACCACACCCTGTGCAATGGCCTCCACAGTCCATTAGCCCCTCTACAATCTGAGTTAGCCCTCCATAGTCTACCCTGCCTTGTTCCCCAGTTTACACAGTATGTCATTTCCTCCAGTCTCCACCCTCCACAAGTCCTTCTGCAGTCTCCACCCTGTCAGCCCTTACAGACTACACCCAGTGTCAATCTCCGCCAGTCTGTACTCGGTGTCAGTCCCTCCACAGTCCACAGTCAGCACAATTCCTAGAGCTAAGAAATCAGACTCATTACTCTTCTGCTTAAATCCTTTTACTAGCTTTTCACTGTACTTGCACAAAATTCAAGCTTAATAGTCACAGGAAATATCACATATCTTGGCCCTCTCTTTATTTCCAACTTGAGCTGCACTCCACCTGTCCCCTCCTAGCTCCATTTAGTTCCTTACAGTGTGTCCACCCACCAGAGCACCTGTGTATGCTCCTCTCTCTGCCATCTCTTCCTGTTGTCAGTGTGGACGACTCAGTCATCCTTGAATCACAGGTAAATGCTACCTTCTCAGCTGCCTTCCCTAACCACTCACTTTAACAGAATTCTCCCTCCTTATTCTCGATACAAGCACAGTTTCCTTTTGTTATCACTTACCTCACTGTTATGTAAATATGTATTTGTCTTCCCCACTAGACTGTAAGCTCCTCAGACTCATAAACCACACCTACCTCGTCTACCACACTGCCATGGTGCCTGCCTGCCACAGAGCTGCTGATGAGAAAATGAATGAATACAGCATTCACGTCAACCCTAAGAAACAGAAACCATTTCCACACACAGCCATCTGTGCCTGCTCAGATACACACCTGCAGTGCTGGGAGCCCTGGTTGTGTCTGAGGGATGCTCCTGTAGCTGCTGAAGCAAGCTCTGTGTCCAACAATGTCTCACGGGGACCAGAGCTACTTATATCCTTAACTTGTTTGAGGTCAGGAGACTGAGGTCCTCCTTCTTGGCTTTCAGGGTCTAAGGTTGGTGGCTCTTCCTTCTCAGGGTCTGGAGTCAATGACAGTCTCCTGGAGTTTCCTTGCAGTAGGCTATCTGCGGCTACTTCCCTGACATGTTCTTTTCCCAATAGGCTGCTGGGCTGCACTGTTCCCTGGCCACCAGCAAGTGTCTCCTCAGATTCAGAGTCCATAGTTACAGGTCCTGGAGGTTTAGGTGGGATTGAAGTCGGTGGCCCCAGGACTCGGTGGGCTGGGATGCCAGCTGGCTCAGGAGGGAGAGAACTGTCTTTGATTCCTGAGGGTACCTCTGCTTCTGAGGGCTCCACTTTCCATGTCTGTGCACCATGCTCTGGCATGGGAAGAGCCTGTGGAGGCAGTGGTGTAGTCTCCCCTACTACCTGTTCTGACAGCACCTTGGGAGCCTCCTGCGTCTCCCCACTTGGGGGTGCTGGAGGCATCTCAGGGGTGGCAGGGCCTGGCTGCTCCAGGGAAGGTCTCAGAGGCTTCTCCTCCTCCTCACTGCTGCACTCTCCCTGCTCTTCCTCCTGATGGTTCAACAGCTGCAGCGTCACCATCTGTTCAAAAGGAAGAGGTGACACTGACAGGAAGACAGCATGCACTGACAGATCCTTGTACTCAGAAGCACAGCTGCCACCCAACTTATGTGACTGTCTCTCCTGTTGGAAGAGGCTGGCCACACCCATGTGGACATATGTCATTTCAGGTGTTCCCATCACTTAGTATGAGTGCTCAGAAGGTAATAATGCCCATTCCAATGAACCACCTGACAGCTTTCTGGATGTACCTTGATTGTTTGCATGATGGTTCTCAGAATGGTCCTGCCATCATAAGATTCCTCCAGCTCAAACTCTCCCCTCAGTGACTGGAACACTTGGTTCATGATCTTCTTGACCTGTGCCAAGATCAAAAACGCATGCTACTAAACTCAAGGCATTAAGTGGTACATTGAATCGCTGAGTTAGTAATCTACAGAGGGACATAGACGCTCATGAATGGCTGGTGACACTGACATCTGCCACCACGGAGAAAGCAGTTGTTTTTTTTTAAATTTCAATTTCTTTTTATTCACATTACATCCCGATCACAGCCTCACCTCCCTCCTCTCCTCCCAATGGGCCACCAACCAGGGAGACAAATGTCTTTTCACAGAAGGACTAGCTAAAGGTATTCCCCATCAAGTGATGGTTGCATATACAAGGCTGCCCATTTACTGATCTGATGTCACTTCAACTATGAGTACCACCAAAAGCTGTGTGCCCTTGACCACAGGGATTAGTGGATGCTGGGTTCTGGGTACAGCACTACCCCCAACCCTCTCTATGACTTAAGGGCACCTACCATGTCTGTCAGAGCTTTGGAGGAATAGTTTCTTTAGGCTTGCTACCAGAGCGGTAGATTCTAAAGAGTTAGTTATCCCAGACAAGTGATATTTCAATAAAGCTGGAGAATTGCTGTCATCAGCACATATGCATTTATGTTTTCTGAATACTTGATAAGCACATTTACTAACTTGCTGTGATAGGTTTTGCTGCCTCTTTGAATGCCAGCTCACCTTCTCTGAGGGGTCAGCAGCAGCTCTGCCTGCAGGTGCCTGGGACTTACTCTTCTCAGTGAAGGCTGCGATCTGGGCCTGGAGAGCTAAGCACTGCAAAATGAACAGACTGGGGCTGTGGCCCTGGGAACCTGGATGACTGGGATGGCCAGGAAACACAAGAACCATTCTGAGCACAAGTCCTGCCCTCACCTAGGTTTGCTAGGCTCAGCCTTGGTCCTCACTCCAGACCAGCTGATACAGGTCACCCCACTTCCTCAACAATCAACTTGCAGCCTCATTCTAATTTCCATCAAGGACACTTGACTTGTTCCCAATGAGGTAAGAATATAATAAAAATAAGGGGGTGTGGATAAAGGCAGTCACATATACACAAATATTCAGCTATCTATTCACCTCCAAGACTGCAACCAAGACCTCCATGTCAAAAGGTTTTAACTGGTAATACAAAGAACTGCCCTTCAGACAAGAGACTTCCATATCACGTCCCCAAGTCCTCTCCCATATCTTTTTCACATATAAGTATCCCACATATAAGGGGCCCACACTTGACCCATCTACCTTACCACAATGACCTGTCCTTGGCTCACCTCCTTTGGACTCCTTCCTAGCTCCATTAGGGACTTCCTCTCAGAGCACCTAATCACTTATCTATCTCTTCTTTGTGATTACATGATTCTTGAGGGCAGAGTCCTTTGCATGCCCTTTCACTAACACAGTGGCTAGAGCCAAACTGATATTCAGGAGAAATTTACTTAATATATGCAGGATCAAATAACGGGAAACAAGTCCTGGAATACTGGCTTTTTTGCCTCTGACCTACCGCCCTATGTAAACATGTAAAAGATAACTGACTGCAAGTTAGACTACCCTGGCTATGTTTTCCAGCTATTAATACTGCCTGCCTAGATTCAACAAGCTGGACAAGCCCCTCACAGCCTGGAGGTCTTGTGTTACTAAGCTGACATAGGAGAAGTACCTCATCCTGAAGGTGAGACAGCTTCTCCTGGAGGGCATCCCTCTGCGCACACATTTCTCGGTACTGCTGCCGGTGCTCATCCTTTGCAGAGGCTAGCAGCTGCTCACACTTAGCTTCCCACTGGCTCTGCAGCTCAGCCTGTGCGAGAGACAGCTGCCAAGACAAACGACAGCCATGTGTAGAGCAGTGGAAGTCGGTTCCCACTACAATGAAGGAAGCCCATTCTCCATAGACTCTAAAGACCCTTGGCCCATTTAGGTAGAAAACAACTGTTGAAATGGCCTTCATTACTTTAAAGTACCCTTTCATTCCTTCTTGGTCTCTATGTTGTGATATCAGGGTCTCTCACTGAACCTGGAGCTTAGCTGGCAGGCAGCTAGCTCCAGTGATCCTCCTGTCTCCGTTATACACATGTGGCCATTACCCAGCATTTTACTTGGATGCTGGAGATTCAAACTCAAGCCCTCATGCTTGCACAGTGTTGGGTCCAAAGTGGGCCCCCAAAATGGCAGAGCTGGTGACAAAGTCCTAAATAGGACTCTGGCTGGGTAAACAGAAACCTTTCTTTAGACTTTCTTTTGGGGGTTTCTGTTTACGAGGAACCTCCTTTAATCTACCACCAAAGGCCAACTGCCTCAAAGGCCACCTACACCCCCATCAATCCAAACAGCCTATATTAGCTCAAAGACCTCCACCCTGCTGACTCTCATATAAAATTTGCTTGCTTTTCCACCATTTTGCTGCCCCCCTCTCCAGCACCATCCCCAAACCCCACCTGAGGAGACAGACATGGTAGTTTGAGGCCCAGTAAACCTTTCTGTCTACCCATGGTCCAGCTCAGTGGTTTCACTGTACCCTCACTCACACACAGCAAGCACCCTTACCTACTACTCAGTCATATCCCCAGTCCTAAAGTGAGCAGGACTTAAACATTAAGGGGGGTGTCACCAGTTGTCAGGATTTCCACTATTCTCCCATGTGAGTATAAGCTGTGAGAAACATCTTCTTAAGGTAAGTAGAAGCTATGTGTCCTTCACAGCTTCCTTGTAGTGCCAAGAGCCTGTTACCTGCTCTGCAGCTGCTTGGTCTGTGGACACCCGAGCCTTTTTCAAAAGCTGCCGAAGTCTGTCCAGTTCCTCCTGGTGCGACTTGCGAATCTCGTCCATCTCCTCCTCCGCCTGGCAGCGCTCCTGAGCTGATTTCTTTTTCCTCTCTGAGAGGTTCTTAGAAACAAGAGAATCATCCTCAGCACTACTTGAACAGTGTGGAGGAGTAGTGGTCCATGACCTCAGTGGGTCATCTCTAGGAACAGTTCCTTTTTAAGCAGCACCCCCCCCCCCCAGCTTTGTATTTTGCATCCTTGCTACTGAGATGAACTGTGACAGGGAAAAGGCAGACAATAGATTTACTGCCATTCTCTTAAATGCTGGGGAGGCATAACTTTAGTGTAGGTACAACAAGGCAGACACATCTGTCTGGCTAGTGAAAAAATAAACAGATACAGTTACCATAAAAAGCCATCAGCCACAGTAAGGATAGTCACTGTTAGAGTGTCTGCAATAAGAAAAAGCTGAAAATGGCCCCAAATCAGAAGGAACTGCTTTAAAAAGCACAAAATCAAAAAGGAACTTGGAAAATGGAGCCCTGGGTAACACTTGCCACACAAGTGTGAGGACCTGAGTTCAGACCTTCAAATCTCATAGAGAAGCAGACCTGGTCTCAGCACTCCTATAGCAAGAGAGGAACTGGAGACAAGAGCATCCTCAGAAGCTCAGGCCAGCTCAGGATGTCTCAAACAAGATGGAAGGGAGGCCTGACACCTAAGGTTGTCCTCTGACTTTCACACATGGATTGCATGCTGTTGCTCTCATGATATCTCTCTCTTCTTTCAGACACACACACACACACAGTTTAAAGTGATAAAAATCTCAAATAAGACTGACCCCCTAAAAGGTATTAGGCAAGAATAACTTTTCTAGAGGCTTTCTGAAACCCCAGCAACAGTTTCTTCTTTTTATATTAAATTGTTCTAGAACAAAGAAAAAGATAGCAATGCACCCTGATATTAAAACTTTAATCATTGAAATTTTAAATAATATATGACTCAAAAATAGCAGGCTAGGGAAGTAAGCTGAAGAGACAGCTCAGCGGTTAAGAGAGCTTGCTGTTCTAAAGGATCTCAGTTCAGATCCCAGCACCCATTTGGGTAGCTTACAACACTTGTAACGTTAGCTCCAAGGTATCTGACACACTCATTTGGTTTCCTGAGGCACCCATATATATACACACACCCACACACAAAATAATAATAGGAATGAGGTGTGTGTGTGTTTTCTGTTTTTCTTTTTCTTTTTAGAGACAAGGTTTTACCTTGTGCCGTTGGCTGACCTGGAGCTCATTATGCAGAGGAGGCTGGCCTTGTATTCAGACAGATTCACTAGTTTCTGCCTCCTGAGGACTGAGACTAAAGGCATGTACTATTAAACACAGGTCTCTTTTGTTTGTTTGTTTGTTTTTGAGACAAGGTTTCATTATATAACCCTGGCTGGCCTAAAACTTATTATATAAATAAGACCAAGCTGGCCTCAAACTCACAGAGATTCACCTGCCTCCAGAGTCCTGGGATTAAAGGCATGTGTCACCATGCACAGTAAGTCTTTTAAAAATAAGAATAAAATTTAAAAAGTATCAAGATGGAAAAATATTAGCAATGTTTATGGCTGACAAAGGATTAATACTCTTCATAGTTCTATAGGAAAGAGGATAAAGACAGAATTCAAGGAGAAGTAACAGGAATAAAATGTATGAACGCTTTATTACTAAAAAACAAAACAAAAACAAAAACAAACAAACCCAACAACACATAGCTGCTGAGCATGGTGGTGCTCCCTTTAATCCCAGCACTCAGGAGGCAAAGGCAGCAGCTGGAGGCTAACCTGGTCTACATAACTCCAGGACAGCCAGAACTACATAAGGAGACCCTGTCTAAAAAACTAAACACACATGCACACACACACACACACACACACACACACACACAAACACACACCAACAAATAGCTACTCAGCCTGAGGAAGTCCACAGCAGTCTGAAATGATAAATAAGAATATGAATACCCATTGATCCAGGATGGGTCAGCGGCACAGTAGGTAACCGTAGGCTACTGTGTGGCAATAATGACTATAGTGTCCTCAACACTTTTAAAGGCACTTAATATGAGCTCAATATTGTTTACAGATGCTATCAGCACATTTGTATATGAGGATATGTAGTAACCTATTACCCTGAGGGTTAATGTGTCCTCTATAGTTGTTATTTATAACCCATACAATCGGAGAAGCAATTAAAAACAACTTTTTAATTTTACCCTTTTCTGTATTGTTTGCACTTTCCCTAATATACTCATACTATAACAATTTTAAAAGAAAAACAAAATTGTTTACTAATCAGCTATGCCTGGTACTTGGGTCCAAGAGAAAGTTGGCTTTTTGAATTTACCTTTTCAAGGGACTCCTTCTCAGCGCGGAGGTCAGTCAGCTCTTCCTCCAGGGAGGTTACCTTGAGCTCCAGCTGCCTCCGGCTCTGCTTCTCACTTTTGAATTGAGTCTGTGTTTGCTCAGAGGCTTCTCGAAGCTCTAGGAGAGAGAAAGGAGGCATGACTGTAGAACCAGAGATGCAGAGGACAATGTGGCATCCCAGAAGCTCTTTCAAAGCTGCATGCTTTAATCACCCAATCCTACTGCATAAGCAAGCCTCCCCGACCGGCACTAAGGATTAGCAAGCCCTGCCCTGACTCTGCTATCCATCCATGTTAGACCTGGAAAGGGAAACTTCTATATGTATACACCTCCTTCTGCACATGCAAAGTGAGAGAATGTCCTCTGATAGTCAGAGACTGCCTTCAATGCCATCACTCATAGAATTCTATTTCCATAGCCATATGACCACACAGGTGTCTTGTTGAGCAGAGCTCTCTGCCTGGCTAAGACTCTCAGTCTTCTTGGTAGCTAGGACATTTGATCAAGAATTTACTTTCAAAATATTCTTTCTCAAATAAGATTGGGGTGGGTGTTATCTTTTAATTCAATATACGAAAACTTGTTTGAAAACTGACTCTTGAAGTCACTGTCACAAGGAACTGTCAGGAGAAACCACAAAAGCAGAAGTGGAACATCTACATGTGTTATAGAATATTTGATCATACTGTGAACCCTGAGATTGTGTTACTTACTGTAAAAACCTGTTTGTAGTTGTGCTGTGGCTTAGCCCTAGCACACACCTTTAATCTAAGAACTTTCTGCTTGAATACTGTAAACAGGATCAAGTAAAGTCAACCAAGGTCAAGAAGCTGAGCAAACAACTGGTTAACAGGAAGTGAACATAGGATTATTAAGAAAAAAGAGCAAGCAACCAGTTGACAGGAAGTGAACATAGAATTACTAAGAAAAAAACTATAGAGAGTAAGAGGGAGTCAGGAGGATGGATAGAGAGACCCACAGGGAGTAGAAGGGAGGGACATTCAGTTTGAGGGAGGTTTTTTGAGACAACAAGAAAGAGGGGCATTTATTCTGGGACTTCAGCTGAGGAGGAAGGTCAGCTAGGTGCTTTCTCTGCCTCTCTGAGTTAGCAGGCTTTTGCTCCAGCACCTGGCTCCTGAGTCTTTATTGGTAAAAATTGAATGACCGAGACTGTTAAAAAGCAACATCCATCCACTCTGCTGCAGCAGCCTCTGTCCCATTTGCCCCTGTCTACTGGTCCCATTTGCATTTCCACACGTTTCTCTATACGGAGACATGAGTTTGCATGCTGGCATTGACAACTTCTAGCTAACCAGCATGTCTTCATGCCTTTATGCCAAGCACTGAGGTAACCTTCATATGGAGGAAAGGATTTTACAAGGAGTAAGTCACTGTCCTTGCCCTTCAGGAGCTTTTATTCTAGTGGGAAGAACAGACTTATAAATGATGCTTACCAAAGGTTATTTTGATGATCAGAATAATGCACTAAGAGATAAAGATTTAAAGAAAGATCAGATGGTCTAGAAAAAGCTGGGGAAACCTGTGAGAGGCAGATTTTTAGAGAGGATTGGAAATGCTATGAAGGCGAACGTGCCAAGTGAGCACACCCTCCTCTAACCACAGCTACTCCAAGAAACCATGATGAAAAGCAAAATAGAATGGGCAGGTAGAAGAGTAGTCAGCAGGACTGTGGTTATGGCAGAGCGCTGGGCTTCGAGTCTAAGCTGGAGCACTGCAATCCTCTCTCCAGGAAGGAGGAAACCACAGCAAGAAGTGCTTCTTTCTTCAAAATCCACCAAGTCATGATGAGTCAGTATTTCCTCAGAGAAATAGTACGACTCATCAAGTAACAACTGAATTGAGGAAGGATGCCTTCCTGTCTTAGTAGTTTTTCTACCAGTCTCCTTGATGCTTAGTCGTTCATGAGTACCAAAGGGACTGACAGGAAGGACACTATTTAACTTAAGTTTACATAGCGAAATGTTGGCATTCTCCTCTGAGAACTTACCTGAGAGGTTAGCCTGGAGTCTGGTGACTTGGCCCCTGAGAAGATCTGTCTCCTTCAAGTTTTCTGTCAGTTGCAGCTGCAGCTCTGTTTCCTTCTTCTGGTGAGCAGTCATTTTCAGTTGCAGGTGAGAGACCTGTGCAGTGGCTGCTGCTAACTCTTCTGTCACCTTGGCCTGGATGGTGACAAAGTGCGACATCACTTTAGACATAGGCATTCCAAGTGCTCATTCAGCCTCCTGTGACTCTAAGCTGATGGGACTGGTAGACAGGAAGGGAGGAAAGGATACCGTCCACCTCCACTGGGCTAAAATCAAGCCTTGAAAGTGCACAAGGGCTCAGATTGAATTCTGTTGCAGAAATACATTCTAAGTAAATACTCCCCAAACCAATGTAGTGGTACACAGCTGAAATCCCAGCACTTGGGAAGCTGAGGCAGGAGGATAAGGAGTTCCAGACAAGTCTTTGTTATGTAACAAAACTGTTTCAAAAGCAAGTATACAAAGACACAAGTACTATAGCAGATGACAAAAGCTTGTTTCAAGACTGTTCAATGCAGCATTAAGTTGTAACAGAATGCAAAACCAACACAAAACACTGAAGAGACTTAAACAAAATAGGAAACACCCATCCTGTGTGCTATCAACAGTGTATTTGAAAAGAACACTCAGTGGCATGGAATATAGCTGGAACCTACTGCCAAATGAAGAATATAAGTAGATTATCAAATAGTATAGTTTGTTAAATATTATTGTTTTTGTAACATGGTCTGTATGTAAAGGAAAGAGCTTGCAGGCATTTTGCACCAATAGCCAATCTAGAGAAAACCTGAGTGCTTTCTATTTTCTTCTTGCTGGTTAAATTATATTTTACATGAGTCTTTCAAAATGATTTGTCACAAATCATTCTTTATAAAGATAATGTTCTATTGCTCAATTTAAAAAAAAAACAGAATCAGATAAGATGAATGGAAATGGATGCAAAAAAAAAAGACTTTAAAAAGTAAGCAGTGACTATCTCCCACTTTACCCAATTCTATCTTGCTTCATATTGATAACCACAGAGAAATATATTTTTCAGGAGCTGGCAAGATAGCTCAATAGATAAAGATGCCTGCTGCCAAGATGGACAACCTGAGTTTGATTTCTAGGACTCATATGGTGGGAAGAGAAAATTGATACTGGCAAGTTTACCTCCACATGTGCACTGTAGTAAATGCATGCATATATATGTATATATACAAAATAAATAAATAAAACATAGCAAAAGACATATGTATTCAACTTCCCACTTGTATAAAGTGATTCTTTATATGCATACACACTGAGTCTTCACACATTCCAGATAAAACAGCAGATAGGCTATACATCCTTCAATCGTACATATGGGCCTTCTCCCCTCCCTCCTTTTTAAAATCTGAATCATATTCTAGTGAGTGGATGTGAGGTAGTTTGCTCTGTATTATAGCACACATGGAGTGCTTCCGGTCTTTCTCATCACACCTGTGAGAATCTTAGATCCTCTGTATGCAAGAGCCTTTTAGAATATTTCTAGATGCAGAGTAAATCCATGTGCAATTTTGTATATTGTTGGTTTTCCTCCATCAGCTATTCTACATGTTTCATCAACCACTGCCAACATTTCAATCAAGCTGATGAGAAATGACATTTGTGCCACTTCCTAACACTTCTATGCTAGACAGGGATCAGCTGAAAGAGCCTAAGTGTCTTTGGGGAACGTATGCTGAAGGTGAGATGACTGAGCACTCTCACATGGTATGGTATTCTGAGCATTGGAGATAAGAAGTACAATGATTAAGGACGACTGAGAAAAGCCAGCTACTGCATCCGCTCCCTTGAACTGCCGTTCCCATAGCACACAAACTCAGAGTCAGCAGGGCAGTCTGGGGGTGCTCTGTAGGGATCAGCCTTGATTCTAGGGTTGGGCTGACTCCCCTATGCTGTGATATTGACACCGTGATTCCCTCTACATCGTTACACTTTTTAGTGCACATTTTATAACTGTCTACTTTCTTCTATTATTTGTAGCTTCTGATGGTATTCACTGTGCACACCTGCTTTTACAGTATTTATTGCTGGGGCTGAGGCTATATCATAGTAGTGGGACACTTGTCTAGCATGTACAAGGCCCTAAATTCAACCCCTAGAATCACATATAAAAAATTCATTCTTTGCCTTATCCCCAAGTGTTTTTTTTTTTAAATCAACTTTCTAGCTTCTATTTAAAGCCTGGTATTTTGACTCCCCTAAAGGTAAAGGAAATGAAACAAAAGTGTGTATGACTTGAAAATAAATAGGCTGTGAATCTGAGCGTATACGTGACCTGTACAGTAAGTGTGGAGGCTTGAGTACAAATGGTCTCCATAGACTCCTGTGTTTGAATGCTTGGCCCACAGGGAGCGGTGTTATGAGGGAGTGTGGCCTTACTGAGGTAGGTGTGGCATTGCTGGAGGAAGTGTGTCACTGTGGGGGCAGGCTTTGAGGTCTCAGAAACTCAAGTCAGTTGTCTCCTGCTGCTTTTGGATCCAGATGTAGAACTTCTTAGCTCCTCCAGCACCATGTCTGTCTGCACAGTGACAAGCTTTTCCACCATGATGATAATGGACTGAGCCTCTGAAACTGTGAGCCAGCCCCAATTAAATGTTTGCCTTATAAGAGTTGCCACGGTCATAGTGCCTCTTCACAGCAATAGAAACCCTAAGACAGCAAGCATTCAGATTATTATTTTTATCTAGAATCTTCGGAGTGGGCTTCATCTTCCTAACACAGAATAAAGAATAAAGTTTACTTCTATTCTACGTCACACATGAAAATTGAACTAACATAGAACTCAGACAGCTTTGAACCTCTATGTAGCTTAGAGAGTTCACTAACGGGAGCAGAGGCCCTCTCAAGACCTTAAAGACACCTCTTGTTCAAAAGAACAGAGTAGGAGACTCTCAAAAGTGCTTCCCCACAATATCTTTTAAAGTGGCATCTCATTATTTACCCCAGCCTGGCCTCATGTTAATGATCCTCTGACCCCAGCCCAAGTGCTAGGCTTGCAGGCATGCACCACTATGATGAGCTTCCAACATTTTTATCGCAGACTCTTACCTAGAAAGGCCTATTACAGAAGCATAGAAATACTCCCACACAATCACATGTCCATACCCAAAGACAACAGTAATAGATTAACCATCTTTGAGTGGAAGGATTATAGGTGATTTCTGTTATGGATTTTTTATTAGAATGGACAACTTTTATAAGTTAAAAAAATGCATGTTACTATGTGTACGTGTATGTAGCTGTTTATAGATATAATCACAATATTTAAAAAATTGTCAGGGATGGCACTGTCTGGAGGAAAGGAAGTCAGCAGAAGCCTACACGGTGTGAGAGGCCCTGACTCCACTCTAGAGCAGTGTGCACTGTTGCGGTAGAGCTGGGCAACCAAGCAACGATTCAAAGACAAGGAAGCGCTGACTCTAGGAGCAGGATCTAGAAGCAGCATCAGCAGAGACAGCACTGTGCTGTGAGAGGACGGTGCTGTAATGAGCCCCTGAGCCAGTGCTTTCTATCTCCCAGGCCTTGGTTAGCTCTTTAGAAAGTATGTTCATTAAGCTCATTCCTCTAACAGGTCTTTCCCTCAGAATCATGACTTTATAAAAAAAGAATTCTTACAGTTTTACTTACCAAATATTCTTTGAACATTTAACCATATTTTTCTGAGCAACGCTTGGCATCAGAAATCTGCCTCCTGAAGAGAACTGCTAATCTCCCTTTAAGAGAGATCACAGGGAGACTGCTAGAGTAGATTAAAGCTGGTGCACACCCTCAATCCCAGCACTCTGAAGCAGAGGCAGGCACATCTCTTATGTTCAAGACTAGCATGGTCTACATAGCTAGTTTCAGACCAGCCAGTACTACATAGTGACTGACACCCTGCCTCAAACAATAAATTAAAAAAAAAAAAGTAACTCATCCAGGGATAGTGGCATACATCTATAATTCTAACACCTAGAAAACTGAGAAGGAGGCTGTAGAGTCTAAAGCTAGCCTTGGCTAAATACCAAAACCTGGTTTGAACAAACCTGGCTACACAGTAAGAACCTACACAAATAAACAAGAAAAAAACAACTACCAGGGGACAGTTAAGGTGTAAAACGTCTCACTGAAATAATGGTGATCAGTGGAATACATGGTACCCTAGTCATCAGCTGGGAGGTTCCCTGAAGCACATCTAGATTCTAGAGGGCACCAGGCACTGTGAGCTCCAGCTCTGTCCTTGATCTACCCCTGCTGTTTAGCTATTACACACAGGACACTGCTGGGCTCAGTGCCAGACACCTGTGGAGTTTTAAAACGCAAAAACACAAGTGGATTAGCAAGCTAAGTAAGAGCTTGATAAACTCCGGCTGACTTATAGGCCAAATTGAACTGCTACTTGCTTTGGGGAATAAAGTTTTATTGGAACAAACTTGTGAACACATATACATACAACAGTGATATCAAACATGGATGTCATATGTTGAACTTAAGTAAAAACAAAAGTATCCAGATGCCACATCCAGAGACTATGACAAGAGAGGTGACTCATATACCTGGGCAGGTACTGGAATACAGGAGAGCTTTGGGAAAGTTTTATCTTGGCTGCATATAGTAAATTAGAATCCCAGAAGATGAAGCTTCAAAATATGTAGTTCTGATCAAGTTTCCCAAGAGATTCTGAGGTAGTTAAACCACTGTTGGGACCTCTCTGGTCTTTGGAATATGTTATAGTCATTATTTTACCCCTGAATAATAACAATGAGGATAAACAGTATATTTGGGCTACCCCAGTAGGGAAATAAAGGAAAAGAAGAGGAAAAGCAAAGATAAAACCAGAGACAGAAGACACACTCATAAGGCACATTTTTCAGAGGACAATGAAGTTCTAGGCTGTTGACCATGACCAGGTCCTTAGTAGACAGCCACAACAAACAACAAATGAATTAGCAATGGGAAAGAAACAGTAACAGAACAGGAGGAGGCTGTGCTGGGCAAGCCACAGCTCACTTGATGATACCTGGCTGTCTTAATTATTGTTCTATTGCTGTTAAGACATCATGACCAAGGCAACTTAGATGGGGGGGGGGAGCATTTCACTGAGGGCTTCCTTACAGTTCAGAGTATTAGTTCCTACTCATCATGGTAAGGAGCATGGTGGCAGGCAGGCACAGTACTGGAGCAGTGGCTGAGAGCTCACATCTAATCCACAAGTTATAGGCAGAGAGAGCAAGACCAGGCCTGCTGTGGGCTTTAGAAACCTCTAAGCCCACACCACCCCCAGTTACACAACTCCTCTAACAAGGCCACACCCCCTAATTCTTCCTAAATTGTCCATCAACTGGGAACCAAACATTTAAATACATGACTGGGACCTATGGGGGCCATTTTCATTCAAACAACCACACAGACCAAAGATATTACTCACTGCATATTACGGTTAAGCAAACACAAGATAGCTTAAACCATAAATAAGAAATCCTTATTATAAGAGTACAAGAAAGTACATCAATACCACAAGTTACAGTGTTCATTCTCTTCAATTTTGCTTAAAATTTCATGAAAAAACAATGCAAGATAAAGAACAAAGATTTCCCAGCTGAAGAGTGACACCCAAGTAAGAAAGAATCTGTTCTGGATAGTGTCCAGTAGACAGAAGAAAATTGGGCTCGAGAATAAGTTGACCCCAATCCAAGACCCACTAGCACATTTCTTGGTACTTTTCAAAGCAGGTTAAAATTCATACATCTAAAAGGTCTAAAGTCACAGTAATTCATCACCCCTGCCTTTCCTTATTGGTTTATTTATTTGTTTGTGTATTGTGGCAGGGACTTGTGTAGCTCAAATTTTGGCTTCAAACTTTGTGCCTAACAGAATGATCCTGAACTCCTGATACTCCTGCGTCTAACACACCATGCTCTAGAACTATAGGCTCTAGAACTATAGGCGCCTGTCACTATATCCAACTTTTACTATTATTTTCCTTTTGTTTTGTTTCATACTATGTAGCCTTGACTAGCCTAGAATTTGCTGTGTAGACCAGGCTAGCCTTGAATTCAAAAGTCAGCTTGCTTCATCTCAAATAACAGGATTAAAGGTGTATGGCATCTCACTTGGTATGTTTTTCTTTAAGGTAATGTCTCACTATGTATCCCAGCCTGGCCTGGTACTTGCTATGTATCTCAGGTGGACTTACAGAAATCCTTTCTCTTGGCCTCCCAATGCTGGGATTACACACATGCACCACCTGTTTGGCTCCAAAGTAGCCCTTTAAAATGCTTTTGTCAAACCAAAATGAACAACATACTAAACACAGACAAAGGAGCAAATTAGACAGTCTTAAATTCCACTAAGAACATACACATTTGTTACATGGCATAATAGAAATTTTCTTTTGATTCTATCAAAAGAATAAATTTAGCTTCTTGTACACTACAAGAATCTCACCATTATCAAATTATTATGACAGGTAATTGGGTTTTTTCTTTTTCTTTTTTCTTAAAGAGAAGATCTTCCTATGTAGCTCAGACTGTCCTTGAACTACAGATTTCTCCTGCCTCTGCCTGGCAGAAGCTGGGGTTACAGGCATGAAACAGTACCCCTAATTCAATCATTGTTTTTGAGTCAACTTATTGCAAAACATTTAGTAAAAGAGATCTAGAGGTGATTAATACATGAAAATCTGTTGGAGGATTTCCAGGTCTCTCCCCAAAGATGGCAAATATCCTGCTGTACAAAAACAGGGAAGTTCATATGCAGGATCATTCCACACCTCAACGCATCCTGACCAGGTCCTTCCTCGGCCCAGTGATTTTTACCTTCTCTTGTTCAGCATGCAATATTCTTGCCTGTGTGTTTTCTGTGGCTGTTTGAAGTGAGTTGTTCCTCTTCTCCATCATCAGGTTACTCTGTTCAACATACCTGAGATAGAAATAAAGGCAAAGAAAACATTCTCAAAGCACTAAATGTTTGACAGGTACATGTCCTCAGTTCTCACAACATTGCTCTACACCTTCATCAGAAACAATCTGAAGGGGGCTGGAGAGAAGGCTCCTAGGTTCAGAGCCTCTGACGTTGGGTTTAGTTCCCAGCATCCACATGGTGGCTTACAACCATCTGTACCTCCAGCTCCAAGGGATCCAGCTCTCTCTCCCAGGGCACTGCACACATGATGCACAGATAACAAGACAAATTTCCATACGAATATTTTCAATTTTTAAAAGGCCAAACAACAATCTAAAATCACATTGTTTTCCTGAGACCTGTAGAAAATAACCAACCTATCTGCAGTGATCAAGAAAGGAAGTAGCACCCTGGCCCACAGATGACTCTCTGTATAATGAAGGGCAACATTCACAGGATGCATGCTAAGGGGAGATGGGAAAAGGAAAAAGGGAATAAGAAGACTCACAGGGGAAAGAAGAAAAGAATCCACTCTTCCAACCCTCCCATGTGAAAGACAAAAAACACTGGACAAGAGAAACACAGAAAAAAATAACTTTTCCAAGTGAAACACTGAATTGAGACTAAGTCTGTTTACCTTTCCAGCCTTCACACATCCCAGAAGCATCCACTAAAAGTTATAAAATGTGCTTTATGAAATCAATCAGGCTCAGTTTAAGTTCTGGCTGATAAAACAGCCCACACAGAAAAGAGAGGACACAGTTTTCTACCTAACACCATTTTCAGAGAAAGCTAGGCCTGCAGACATAAACAAAATATCCAAAGCCACCCAATACATGAAGGGGAGGGCTGAAAGTCAACTGCAGGTGGGTCTTACACCAACCACAGTCACCTCAGCCTGTTCTACTGAAGGCAGAACAAGTAATTCACATAATGAGCAGAAACAGATGGTTGAAATACATGGGCTGGAGAACAGGTCACAGCTCAGTAGTATTCCATACTCAGTATGTACAAGGTGCTCAGGTTCAAAAACCAAAACAAAACCAAGTGTAGAGAGGAGAATTGTAATAATACCCTGCCCTCAACAATGTGTATCATAATGTATAGTATGATACATTAAACCCTTTGCCCACACTCCCCAGCGCTGCTGCGTCCTTGCCATTACCTCTGATTTCGTTCGATGAGGTCACTAATCTTGTCATTCTGCTCCTCTATACGACTGCTTTTCTCAAGCAGCTCCTGCTTCAGTCTCTCATTTTCCTAAATCCAAATACACAACATACACAGTAAGAGTCTAAAAGTGCCCAGGAAGTCAGTACGCGTCTTGAAAGTTCCATCTGTCTCCACTCTCTGCTTCAGCTATAGCTGCAGCAGGACCAGCCACCTCACAGTCTGCTGCCATGTCTTCCCTGCCATGACAGACTGGATCCCCAAACTGTACAGCAAAACAGCTTGAACCCATGGATGGCCTTGTAAACACATCTTGAAACAAATACTAAAACTTATTTTCCCAGACATGTAACTGTTAGAGTAATAAATCAAATTATACCTGCTAGATTATAACCACTAGGCTAGACAGGCTGAGGATGGTCATAAAATGAGAGTTTAAAATAGGCCTAAAAAGCAGTCTTTCTTTTTTGACTACATTAGTCATACTGCTATGTAGCATGTAGAATATAGAACAATATAGCTTAATATACTATAGTATACAGTAAATACAGATACTTGTGGTTCGAATGTGAAATGTCACCCATAGGCTCATGTGTTTGAATATTTGATCCCTAGCTTGGGACAGACTGGAGGTGGGGTCCAATTAGAGGAAGTAGGCCACTGAGGGTGTTCATAGGAAGGCTCCACTTCCTGTTGGCTCTCTGTTCAATGAGACCAGTTGCCTCAACTCTGCTACCACTCCTACCTGTGACAATGGGCTGCATGCTCTCAAACTAGGAAACAAAAGAAACCTCGCTTCATTAAGTTGTTTCTTGTCAGGTATTTGGTCACAACAACAAATAAAATAACTAAAATGAAAGTATAAGCCACAGAACCAAATTAAGCCATAATGGCTTTTCCAACTCTAGTACTCAATACATGCTATTTCTGGGGTGAGGGGACAGATTTAAGGGTAGCACATCCGAGGAGGGTGTATGAACAAGCCCTCCAGGCCGTGTCATGCTCCCCTTCATCCTCACCTGGATGATCCGCTGGATGTTGCTCATAATCATGCTTGTTTCCATTGTGACTGCCATGCTAGGAAGAAGCATGGAATTCCCAGAGCTATGCTTCTGTAACTCCTCCACCTGCAGAGGGGAAGCCAGGAAGGCTGTGAACACATTTAAGTGGAGAAATACAACTCACCCAGGATCAACCACGTTTTTGAGAAAGCTAATACATTTCTGAGACAACATCTAAATGTAAACTTACTTTCTCCACTAAATTAATCCCAAAGTAAAGATGCTAACACTTCTAGGGAAATGGCCAAGGACCGTGACGGCAGGAAGCCAAGGAAGAGTGTTCTTACAGCTCTGGCTGCTCCTGCTCACATTCTATAGTGCCCACTTCCTGTACCCTCTTTTAACATTTTAATTTATTATCTCTTTTTAAAATTAAAAAACATGATTTTAGATTTATTTGTTTTATTTTATGTGTCTTTAAGTGCTTTGCCTACAAGTATGTATGTGCCTGGTTCATCAGAGATAAGAAGAAGATATCAGCTCTCCTGGAACTGGAGTGATGAATGACTGTGAGCCACCATGTGGGTGTTGGGAACCGAACCTGGATCCTTTGCAAGAGCAGTGGCTTATCACTGACCTGTTATTCCAGCCCTCTATTGCTTCTGTATTACAGTTTCATACAGATAAACAATGTGTCTTTATTGTGTGTATCCATTATCATGTGCACATATGGTATGCGTGAGTATGGACATGTACTTCTGTGCCACTTGGACAGGAGTCAGAGTACAATAAGCAGGAACTGGTTCTCTCTTTACTTGATAAATCTCAGGAAGCAAACTCAGGTCACTGGGCTTCCAGCAAGTGCTTTTACCTACTGAGCCATCTCCGGCCCAACAGCCCTATTTTCAACAGAGCCTCAGCTCTGACTCAGTCACCTTAGTCATGAGATGATCCATTTTATCAGCTACTTTGTTGACTGCCATTCGAATTTCAGTGTTGTGTTGCCGTGCTTCAGTCATGAGAAAGGACATCATGTCACCTGATCCTAAACAGACATAAAAAGGAACTTATAAACCTGGAAAGAAAAAACTATGTATGGAAAAGTCAAGGGCAGTTTTAGCAGAGGAAATAGGATAGGCAATTTCACACTGTCAGGAGAAGGCATAGAACAGGCAATAGAGACAAAGGACTCCCAAGTTAATAAGAACTAAGTTATATTTCTGCAAAATACTTCAAAAGCTAGAATCTGGTTCAAATGCACACTGGCCCAAGTGTATCCACTTTGGACTACTATAATTCTGCCCTTACATTGTTTCCCCCTTCCTCCGACTGCATGCCAGGCATTGCATTGGTACCAGGAGTACAGTCATGAATACAATATGGTTCCAGATCTTAGTGGGCTTCAGTTGAGAAACTGACACATAAACAAATCATTACAACACAGTACTTTAAATGCAAGATGGGCATAGTAGCACAAGACTGTAACTCACAAGGCAAACAGAAGATTCAGAGTTCAAGATCAGCCCGGGCTACATGAGATGCTATCTTAAAAACAGTTTTTTGAGGGAGGTGATTTCAACTGTAGAAAAAAGACCATGTATACACGGTACAAAAGTAGCACCTTAAAAATAGCATTAACCTTGTGGTGCTGAACATCTGTAGCTGTGTCTATGGGAGCAGTGGATGGAGAGGTGGTGAGCCAGAGGTTGAAATGTCAGGTTGGAGGGATGTCAAAGTGTTTCAAAGATGGAGAAAGGACAGTGCTCCAGACAAAGGCTGCATTTAGGAAGCCCTTCCCACTGCGGAACTACAACTCAGGCTGTTGGATATACTTGTTTCCTCTTGCTGCTATCCTTAGGCCAAAGTGATTACCAAGCAAAAGACAGGCTGCACACCACAGCAGGAAACCAACACATCCATCAACATTTCCCTTGCCTTGTTTACAAAAGACACCTACACTGGTCCAATTGCATAAAATACACACAAAGTTACCCAAGCAACTGTAAGAGACGCTCTCCTACAGGCAGAAGTTTAATGACAGACAGGACACTTTATCCTACTTTGTATTGCCTGCCATTTTTACTACAGTGAATTACTTTCATAATTTACAATTTTTAACAAAACAGTTTTCATCAGCCACTCACCACCCACAGCAGTACCTGCTTCCTCCCAATGCCCTCCAGGGTTTGCTCTTTCACTATCTACTATGAGCTCTTGTCACTCTGAGAGAAGAATCTAAAAGGCTGGTAGGAGAGCACGGAAGAAAAAACACTGAACAGAAGCACAAAGGGGGAGATATAAATGGATTGTTATGACAGATGCACATTTCCTTAAAAACAAAAACAAAAAAACCCCTGAGGTCTGGGAAGATGCTCAGCTGGTAAAGCAGTTGTTCCCCAAGCTCCAGGATCTGAATGTGAATCCTCAGCACCCATCTACAAATAATAACCAGAAGAGCTGAGCATAGTTTCTACACCCCTGTAAGCCCAGCACTGGGGGGTAGACACAGGTGAATCCTGAAAGCTCCTGGTTAGCTGGTCTACCCCAAATGGCAGATTTCCAGTTCACCAAGAGACCCAGTCTCAGGAGGAAGACATCCAATGTATGTGTTCACAGGTGTCCATGACTGCACATTCATATGTACGTATACATACACACATATACAACATGTACTATGTATGTCCTTTCTTTGCATTATATATTTGAATAAATCATATTGTATATAAATTACATCTCAATCAAGCTGTTAAAACAAACAAACAAACAAACAATGAAAAGAAAGGGTGGAGAGCTGTTAGAGGAAAATGAAAACAGAATGGGAGGAGGAGAGCCCAGCAAGGGTAGATGATGAAAAACCGGAAGGAGGAACTTATGCTCTACCTTGAAAGTGAGGAGCCTGGGACAGCGGTGCTGGGAACAAGGGCCGGGCAGGCTGCAGCTGGGAGGTAACTGAGGGTGTCTGGGGATATGTGTAGGCTTGTACACCTGCATAAGGCTGAGAAAGTGACAAGGTACCTACTTAGTTTCCTATGACAGAACAGAGCAGATTAAACAGGGAGGAGGCTTACAGTCACTAAAGCTGGAGATGAGGACATCAGTGTGAGGCAACTGTCTATGGGACTTGATGGTATCTGGTCACTCCAGTCCTACCCAAAACCTGAGGAACAGGAATCTTGGATTGCTACCCAGTCCTCTGGCAATATGATTTAATGGAATTGAAATTTATTTCCTACTATCAGGCCTATTTTTAAGGAAAACTTGAAACTAAGCAAATCCTATTTAGTTTCTTTTGAAGGAAAGAAAAGGTTATTTTTCCGAGATTCTTCATAATGCTTCTCCCTTGCTAGATTCCTTTTTAATTTAAAGGTTTTTTTTTTTTAAATTTGTATGTATGTGTGTCTATGTATCTATGTAAGGACAAATATAGTGGTTCTTAACAGTTGAGCCATCCATGCTCAGGCTCTAGATTCTGTTTTGTTTGTGTGTGTTTTCAGACATGGTTTCATGTAGTTCAGGCTGGCCTTAAAATCACTATATAGCTGAGGATACCCTTGCAGTCTGATCTTCCTGTTTCTAGCTCCTTCATGCTGGGATTACAGGCATATGCCACTACTTACTAGATCTTGATGCTTATCTGGGTAACTAGAATTGGAGTATCACAACCATGAAAGGAAGATGAAAGCTTTGAGAATTTGCTATTTATGAACTAAATGAAGTGATACAGGCAAAGCCCTAACAACTGCCAAATGATGTGCCTGGTACAAGACAAATCCTCAATAAACATCAGGTATCTATCATTTTAAGAATGGTCACTCTTTCCCCATAGAGGAAAGAGTTTATTTCCAAGGACAATATAACAACCCAAACAATTATTTTTTTTAAAAAAAAGAATCTTATTCTGTTACAGAGGGGTTTTCTCACTTTTGATTCTCCTTATCCTAGTGGAGCAAAGCCTGCCCGTCATGACTCCCACATCTCCATTCAGAACCACCTCCAGAGTGGGTAGGGCAGGAGAGGCAGCTCTTGCTATCTTATGTGCACTGACAGGAATTTTGGTATGTGCCAGGCCCAGGCCTTTAATAAGTACTTTGCTTATTCTTGTACTTATTCTTCACAAAAACTTTCAAACAGAAAACTTTGTGTGGTTTTAGGGATAAGAAAGTGGTAACTTGGGGAAGGGGAATGACACGCGTTGACTTGAGAAACTGCTCCTGTGTAAAAAGGAGAGAGGGATCATCTATGTTCATGTAAGAACTTAAATTATACCTTATGACTAAAACAGTTTTAAAATAATATTGTTACCTGAGGGCTGGATGTGATGGTACATACCTATAATCCCAGCTCTGAGGAGGCAAGAGGCAAGAGGCAAGCAGATCTCTGAGAGTTTGAGGCCAGTCTGTTCGTGCATGTGCATTGTGTGTGTAGAGAGGAGAGAGGATGCATGTGTGTGTGTAACATACACCAGGTAAGCCGAGACTACATAGTGAGACCCTCTCTCAAAATAACAAACAAAGAAATTAATTAGTTAATTAAAAAATAGTTACCTGGAAGTTCTGACCATTTCCAGATACAGCCGAGTGAGAATCAAGGGATGCAGCTTGCATCAAGGCAGCAGAGGGTGTCTGGAGCCCAGAAACAGACGGCTGAGGTGCTAAGACAAATCAAGATATTTTTAGTTACCCACCCTTGCTTGTTTTGTCAATGCAAAACACAACTCTCACCTCAAAGGAGATATGAGATCATTTATTTTGGAGCCAAATATGTATGAGCATATACTGGGAACACGGATTCACATTACTCCAGATCCCATGTTCCTACACAGTTAACAGTCTCACAAGCCTGGATACTTCAAATACAGTGGTTTAAAAACATCTGGGAGGCATTTTCCAGAAACTCAGAAGATCTGTTTAAGGCCTCAGATACTATCTGACCACATGCTTAGCTTTTGGTTGGTGGAGGCTGGTACTCTGTACATTCCAATGGATTTACCTAATAGTGACAGAGACATTAGGTCACATACAGAGAGAGGCAATAAATGGCTACTAAGTGTTGCAGGATGATCACACTGTGAACCCTAAGATTGTGTTATTTACTACAACAACTTGGTTTTAGTTGTGGTGTGACCTAGCCTTAGTACACACCTTTAATCCAAGAACTTTCTGCTTGAATACTGTAAACAGGATTAAATAAAAACTACTATGGTCAAGAACAGGTCAAGAGGCAGAGCAAGCAACCGGGCGGTGGTGGCGCACGCCTTTAATCCCAACACTTGGGAGGCAGAGACAGGTGGATTTCTGAGTTCAAGGTCAGCCTGGTCTACAGAGTGAGTTCCAGGACAGCCAGGGCTATACAGAGAAACCCTGTCTCGAAAAAACCAAAAAAAAAAAAAAAAAAGAGGCAGAGCAAGCAACCAGTTGACAGGAAGTGAACACCGTATTAGAGAAAAACAGAGAATAAGAGAAAAACAGATACATAGGAAGTAGAAGGGAGGGGCATTCAGTTTGAAGCAGGTTTTTGAGACGGTGAGTTGGGGGGAGAGTGGGGTATTCCTTCTGAGACATAGCCTGAGGAGGAATGTCGGTCAGCTGGGTGTCCTCTCTGCCTCTGAGTTAGCAGGCTTTCACCCAGCATCTGGCTCCCAAGTCTTCACTGGTCAAATCAAAGGATTGAAACTTTGTTAAACAAACAACTAAGGATGCTAAAGATAGCCCAAGATAAATTACAACTCTTCTGAACCTGCTGGACCCCTGCCTCTTCACAATCCTTGGCATTCTCATCAGCTAGCCAGCCCTGCAGAAAGTTCAGTGTTAGGTGGGGCTCTTTCCAGGAAATTTCTGGACTAGCATCCAACACTCCCCTGCCTTACATCAGACCACTTTCCTCACTTAACCTCCTAAAGCAGCCCATTGGCATCCCAGCAAGGGTGGAAACTGTTCTCTTGTTGGTCTGACTCAGATTCCATCAGCTGACACAAGTGCAAAATGACATATATGGCCATGTCTCAACAGCTGAGCACAGGCTTCCTAAAGGGGCAAAGCAACACAGCAGACATCACAACGAACAGGCTGAAAACATCTGAGTCTCAGACTGGTCTACTCGGAGACAAACTGACAAGTCTTAGTTCCTAACTGAAGACCCCACACTAACAGTGCTAGCTAATAATCTAAGGAACACAGATGAAAACTCTGATTCAACTCAAGGGCCAAGTCTTAGTGAGGTTCCTTTCTTACCCTGTGAGGCCATCTGTGGTAATACCGGATGAGCTGGCTGAAGAGAAGGCTGGACAGACGGTGTCACAAGGGACTGTCCAGCTCCTCGCAGAACAGTTGCATCCTGAAAGAAGCACAAGGGTTGATCACTATGTGTAGGCCGTTAGCTGAAGACGGAGGCTGCCTATCTCTAACTTGGCTCACAATACAGGATTTCTAGTCAAGAAAGAGGAAGGAAAGGCAGGCAAAAAGCCAGTCGTCAGGGATATGAGTTGTACAAGGGAAGAACTCAATTATGCAAGAGTAAGAACTCTTCTTCCTATAAATCATATCAAATAACTAAATACAGTTAATTTCTACAGATGTTCTGTCAGTGTTTTATCATTTCAGGCAGCTAAACTGACAGTTCTACAGAACACACCATCAGTTACCCGACTGACCAGCAACAACCCAGCTTTCCTCTTCTGCCAAGCAGTTTCAGACCTCAGAGTACCCAAGACTGGACAGAGCAGGAGTCCCTGCACCTCATTAGCATGCTGGCTTTGGTAATGTCTGTCCAGGATGCTTGTCCTAATCCTTTGTTGTTGTTTGTTTGTTTGAGACAAGGTTTCTCTATGCAGTCTGACTGTCCTGAAACTTGCTATGGAGACTAGTTGGCCTCAAACTCTGAGATCCTCCTGTCTCTGCCTTAATTGAAAGTGATGAGCTTAAAGGTGTGTGTGTCACTACACCAGCTGTTAGCTCTCATTCTTAAAATATTTTTAAAAATTCATAAAACCAAAGCTGTAACTCTGAGCAAAGCTGCCCTGTATTCCTGCTTCATGCAAGGACAAGATGCCTCAAAGCATGAGTCATGTGACTATAATTTGCTGTGCTGTGATTCAAGGGCTGTTATCTCTTGATTATTCATATACTTTTGAGTTTTCCCCAACCCCAAATGTTCTCTTCTGAGAAAATCAGCCCACTTTTAGATTATTACTGAATTCTAAATCAACTTAAAGGCCTATCAGGAGAGTAAAGGGAATTATGGTAAACAGAAGACCACTGAGTTATCTTTAAAGCAATAAATTTACTTTAAAGCAAAACACTTTTCATTTTATAGCAAAAGAAAAAATTCTCAAAAGTCAATCAATCATATATTTCAGTTCACTTGAGAAAGAACTGTTTTATCAGTAACAGATTAATCATTAAAAAGGGCTTAAGTTACTTTATATTCTTGTGGATTACAAATTTAGATCTAAATAAGTATACAATAATCATATTTCTGAAAGACATATGCTATGCTTTTAAAATATAAAAATGAAAATGCTTTCTTTTGTATGTGTATGTTTATATGTGTTCATGTATACAGAAGGGTGTGTTCTTTTGTGTATGTTGAGGTCAGAGGTCAACAATGGGTGTCTTACACAATCACTATCCACCTTAATTTTGAATCAGGGTCTCCCACCAAACTTAGAGCTCACTGATTGGCTAGTCTGGCTGACTTGCAGGCCCCATGGATCCCTCTGTTAGGGCCTCCTCAGAGCTGGGATTACAGGCACAAGCTATTGCATCTGGCTTTTGTGTGATGCTGGGATGCTACTTAGGTTTGCATAGCAGGCACTTTACCTGCTGAACTCTCTCTCCAGCCCTGGGAATGCTTTCTAAGCACCATATCAAGGGCAAAAAGCCTGGTAGACTTGATTCCAATAAAATCTTGAACTGCTAAATAACATTTTTAAAAACACAAAAAAGTTATATATATATATATTCATAAAATCTAACAGTTTGATATTTAAACAACAGTTATCATCAGTGAGAAGATCAGTGTTTCCCAAGTTGATCCAAATACTCAATCAACAAACACAGATGGAAGCCAGAAACAGTGGCATGTGCCTATAGTTCTATAGGCTGGGGAGGCAGAGGTAGGAAGTCACTTGAACCCAGGAATTACAAGCCTAGGCAGCATGGTCAGACTCAGTCTCAAAGGAAAAAAAAGTTAGAAGAGCTGAGCACATGTACACATGTAGACACACATACAGGCAAAACACTCATGTGCATAAAAATGATACAGTAAAACATTTTTAAAGAGTAAAAGAAACCTAAAAAAACCCACAGAGCCTGTATGGGTTGCATATCTTATTATCTAAGATTGATCCTTTTTTCTCAACATGAAGCAGATTTATTCCTTCCAGACAGGCAGCTAAAGGTTATGAGCAATACAGATTCCAGACCCTGATACATGAACACTAAGCACTTGGTCAAATGTGCAGAACTTAACCTCCATTTGGGGATGGGCTAGTCACAATTAAAAGGCATGTGCTCACACTGGTCTCAAATAGTGACTCTGGATTAGAAGCAGAAAAGGCACTTATTCGAAGCAAAGAAACAGAATATGGCAGCAACTGTACGCATTTTAACATGGTCAAGGGGACATACTTCGGTTTCTGAGTCATTGGAATCCAGCTGTGGTGGAAGGATGGGCAGCATGGGCTGGCCCATCTTAGCCATCCTTGAGATCAGCTTGGCCTTGACTGTATCAGGACTCTAAAAAGAAGGCACAAACACCACTGTGACTGAGGTTTCTTGCTTTCAAACAGGTCTACTTCTTTGCCTTGTGTCAAAACCTTTAACCTTACTATTACTTAGTTGAAGCCATTTCTTCTAGAAAGTAAGAATTATTTATGATACCAAATACAATGCAAATTAATGAGATTAATAATATCAACATTAAATGAAGTCCCTATAGCTTGGGAATGAATTGCTTTCATATGCATGAGCTCTTCTAAACCAAGTGTCCCTACTGTAAATGAGAGTGCTTGTGCTCACTTGGTCATTTTCCTAGGTTTAGAACAGTGTTTACTACATCAGATCAACTGCTTGTGAAGTGCGTCCTGCTGTGGCTGAATGTGCACATGGCTGGAGGGAAGACCTGGCTTCACTCATCACCTACTGCTCTCAGTGCTAGGCGAAGGCCTTGCTTGAGCCTGAAGTTCTTGCAGCACATTCAGAGCTTGCATGGACCAAGCAGAACAGCAGCAAACCACCTTTACATCCTTCCTAAGGCATTCAAATCCAAATTACTGAAATAATAGTTGGTCCTCTCCTCTCACCATTGGGGAAACAAAACCAGTGACCTGCTCAAAATCAACCAGTGGATGAAGAAGCCTGAATTCATCTGAGAGAACAGAAGTACAGGGTGTCTACTCGCTCAGGTAAATGAGTGCTCTCCTATCCCCTCCCCCACACACCTTCTTTGGTGAGGGTAGCAGTGGTAGTATTTTGTTTGTTTTGAAATAAAATACATATAATATAAGGTCATATTAGCATCTATTATAATGTGAACAATGCTTTTTAAGCATGTATAATATGCCAGATGTAATACTGAAAATCTAGTAAGTGTTCATTTCCTTATGTCAATTTACAGATGAAGAAATAAACCTGTGTTTACAGAGTACATTCTTCATGGTCACATGGAATAAGCAATATAAAATGCCAGGATTAACCACTAATCCATTCCTCTTGGAATAAATGGCAACTCGAGGATGGTAGTGATCTTTCCCTGAGGGGTTCACTCCCAGCTTAACACCACTCTCTAGTAATACCGCAGCTACCGCTCATTAAAAACAGCTTTACACAGTCTCTGTGCTCAGGGCTTTACGAACTGTAACTGGGGGCTGTGAAAATTATTTCCACTGTAACAATGAAGAAACTGATATCTGAAAAGTTAGATCATTTTCTCATGGCCATATGCTTTTAACTCAGATATATGGATATAAAAGTCCAGGCTAATTTGACTACTGACTGATTTCTAAGTAGGATTAAATAAATTAATTAATTTCTATACTAAGTCAGTGGCTCTCAACTATGTGCGAGGCACATGAAACAAGCGTTCCACGGCCTAGGGTACAGAATCGTACTTACTGTATTTACAGTAATCTGCTCACTGAGAGAGTTAGATTTGGAACGAAGAGCCGGCTCCCTGAAATAAAATAAAACATCCTAAAAATATAAAATCTATAACTGCAAACTAAAATTAAACTGGCTTAAAAGCATTGTTTTTTTAAATAGACAACTGAATAGCTAAAACAGAATTTTAGCTCCTTTTTATTTGTATAGTCCCTGAAAGGCACCAAAGCTGAACTGAACACACTTCTGTTCAAATTCACTCCACTTTCCCATGGGCCTGCATTCTGTGTTCATGCCCTTTGCCCTTTGCCCTTTGCTCAAAGTTTTGCAGGTATTCTTATCATCACTTTGACAGCGGTTAATCCATTGTCAAACGAATCTGATACATCGGTTCTCTAATCCTGTTTTTTGTTCTTTTAAATTACTTAAAATTGATTGCAGTTTTGAACTACATCTCAGGAACCATGTTGAAGAACCCCAGATCTTGCCACAGCCTTACCCGGGTTTGAGAGGCAATGGTGGTGTCACAACAGGATCAGCTGAGAGGTTGTCAGCAGCAGGGATGGGGGAGGGAGCTGCAGAATCCCGGGAGCTCACACTGTGGCCATCAGAGCCAGAATCTCTGGCAAACTTCACCTAGGGTAGAACAGAGTATACACACTCTCCCTTCCATACCCTCCTTTATTTATTCTTTAGCATAAAAGCTATTGCCTATAGGCTATAAGCAAAATCAAAACATGCTGAAGAAAAGGAAACAGTTCTAATTCAGCTACCATTACATTATCTGTGTGTATGAATGAGTGCATGTGTGCTTTTATAAATGGGGCCATAGCTTTGCAGCTGTTCTGCTTACTTGTTTATACATTAATGTGTTTCCACATCACTAAATACTTACCTGCATTGTTTGCAGCTACTGAAGAGCATGTCTTACCCAAGGTCATGCTCATTCCTACTGTGGTCTACAAGGTTAAGACTCCAAGGGCTTCTTGAACAGAAATCATAAACATGTATGCTCTTATAAAACCCTATTTGGCATAATTAGATGGCTTACTACTATGGCACACAGTGCTTTAATGAATAGCTCTGTGTCTAGATCTTTGCACAGTCTACTTTAGTACTCTCTCCACATCTCTCACCCCCACTCCATTCTCCTTCCCTGCTTCCCTACCAGTCTCTTCTTCTCTCTCACATATGCTTTCTCTAATTTCTCCCTCCCTCCCTCCCTCCCTCCCTCCCTCCCTCCCTCCCTCCCTTCCTTTCTTTCCTTTCTTTCTTTCTCTTTGAGACAGGGTCTCACTATGTAACTCTGGCTGTCCTGGAACTCACTATGTAGACAACGTTAGCCTCAAACTCATGGAGTTCTATCTGCCTCTGCCTTTCAAATGCTAGAATTAAAGGCATGCACCACTATGCCTGGCTCTAATTTCTTGATTACTGGTAAAGTAGAAAACTTTGCTTATGTTTACAAGTCAGTATTAATAGTTTCAAAATAGTTTGCTGTCTATCATTACCCATGGTTTCCTCGAGCTCAAAGAAAACTTAAGAGAATTTATATGTTTAGGAAAAAAAAAAGCATCTGCGGACATACCACTGTAAGATTAGATGACCCAACAGAGAGAAGGGTCTCCTATTAGGAGGTTACCTCTCTGCTGTGGCAAGCATAACGACTACATGGAGATAGCCATAGTATTCACTATTTGCACTGTATTTTATAGTTTATAGTCATCATCACCATTCAACCTAATAATAGCAGGGTCATTTGGGAGAAGGAATACTATAAACTAATCAAAGATTGTTGCTATTTTAGTATAGAAATTGCCGGGCGGTGGTGGCGCACGCCTTTAATCCCAGCACTTGGGAGGCAGAGGCAGGCGGATTTCTGAGTTCGAGGCCAGCCTGGTCTACAGAGTGAGTTCCAGGACAGTCAGGGCTACACAGAGAAACCCTGTCTCGAAAAACCAACCAAACAAACAAAAAAAAAAAAAAAAAGAAATTAAGTATACATATTCAAAAATGGGGGCCTCTCTATGTGACCCTGGCTGGCCTGAAACACATTAGTAGACCAAGTTGGCCATAGGCTCATTAATATCTGACTGCTTCTGCCTCTCAAGGACTGGGATTAAAAATATGCCCACCACGTCTTACTGACAAGACTTTTATACATTAAAAAAAGATAAGATGTTAAACTTGAATGCTATTCTCAGAGAAAAGCACTCAACATCTCTTCTAAAGCTTTCAGAAATTCCTATAAATGCATGCGCGCGTGCACGCGTGCATACGTGTGTGCGTGTGGGTGCGCGTGTGCGTGTGCGTGTGTGTGTAAGTCTGACTATGTATACATATATATGTGGTCATTACAAGCATGCACCACGATGTTAACATGGTTATGCACGTTCTGGAGACTGACCTCAGACCTCATGCCTGAAGGCAAGAACTTTCCCAACCTTCATCCTACCCTGGCATTTCTATTTTAAAAGCTGTATATATCTTCAGAATCTGATTTATAAGAACACAGCCCAATTTCACTTACCCGCCTAACTTCTACCTCAAACACCAGGATGGAGTCTGTTGGCTGAGTCCAGCCTATTACTCCTTCAGAGCCAGCAGCACAGGCTGAAGGAGTGACAATTAAGCGCTTTCCTCCTTTCTTCATGCCCAGAAGCCCATCCTCTAAGCCCTATAGACATCAGAAGTGGGGAAAAGCTCATCAGAAAAAAACACATGAACATGCACACAAACACATACATTCGCATACAACACACTCTAGAAAACAGGTTCTAGATTAAAACTGTCCTACTGAGCCAATGAGATGGCTCACAGGGTTAGGGCCACCTTACTTGCCACCAAGCCTGATGACTTGGAATTTGATTCCTGAAACCCACATGTTGGGAGGAGAGAACTTAATCTTGAAAGTTGTCTTCTAACTGCTATATATATGCTGTGGTATGTATACGCACACACACACACAAAACAATAAAAAATAAGAATAAAAGCTGGCATATCTGGAGTTGGATAAGACATTTAAATGATAAGAAAAACAGTCATATAGTATTAAGAGAGAATGGATTCTATCACTTATTAATCACAATTTTTCAGGCACTATGGTTAAGTATTCTACCTGCTTGTTTAATCTCATGATTGTTAGCATTGCCTTCACTTAAGTGAGAAAGCAAGCTCCTGGTCCTAAGAGCACACAGTCAGTTGGCGTTGAGTTAAGGCTGAACATGAGACCTGGCTAACTTCGAGGGGCATGCTTTAAGTATTTAACAGAAATGTCTCCAAAGAATTTGGGTGAAACAGCCATAGGCAATACAGTGAAAACAAATGTTTGTACATGGATGGATGGACACAATGCAAAGCCCTAACAAGCCCAACACATGACACTGCACATATGTAAAATGCTCACTGATCAATTCGCAACTCGAATCCCAGAGTAGCACTTCTCGTGCCACATCAAATCAAATAGATGAGAACCAAGCATATGGCAGCTGCTAAATAAACAGTGTCGCCGCTCCATGAGGCTGTGGGAACAATGGGATCATTTCCTCAGAGCCACAGGATAAAAAAGACAGGGAGGAGTCTAAGAAACATGCACACTTCTTCAGTCCAGCTTCTCACAGGTAAGCATCTCCCAAATGTCGACAGTGGGAATCGTCTTTTTCCTTCCTACTTTTCAACCAAGTATGTCTAGACTCTAGATAAGGACAGGTTGGAGATTCTCAACATTTAAATTAAATTCCAAAACAGGCCTTTACCTTGGCAACTTTTCCTGATCCTAATTTCAGGCGAAGTGGCTTGTCTTTGTTAGCAGTAGAATCAAAAACCTGCCATTTGATAAGGTAAAAAAAAAAAATCAGCCAGTTTCAAACACAACAATCATCATGATGACAATCAACCAAGGGGCTCAGTCCCTGTCAAACAGGAAATGACAGGTGTAACAGCACAGAGATCCTGAAGAAGCTCAGAAGATAGAACTATAACATAGTTGGAGCTTATCACAACGAATAATACCCCTGCAAACAATAATTTGCCAAATTGGGGGCTAAACCCATTTCTGGCACCATTAACTGAAGCACTTTTTCATCTATAAAGTATTTTCAGTAAATGTACTCATTTGGTGCTTAAACAGTCCTTCCAAGAAGCAAAGCAAGGATCTCCATGCACAAATGGGAAAAATAAGAGATTAGAGAGTTGATCAAGGTCAAACTGGGATACAATTGGGACTTAATCCCTGACTCCTCATTTTTTTATACAGGGTTTCACTCTGTAACCCTGACTGGCCCAAAACTCAGAGATCTGCCTGCACCTGCCTCCCAAGTGCTGGGATTAAAGACCCATGACACCATGCCCCACACATCCACACTTTTTAAGTCATACAGTTTTTTATATCATATCACATTGCTCTAGAGAACGTAACAGTATTAAAAACACAACAATTACAACATATTTATAGTGTCTGTTAAAAGGAAAATGATAGCTAGACACAGTGGCATGTGCTTTTAATCCCAGCACTCTGGAGACGGGCAGAGGCAGAGGCAGATAGATCTCTGTGACATCCAGGCCAGGCTGGTCTACATAGCAAGTTCCAGGCCATCCAAGGATACATAGTAAGCCCCTGTCTCAAAAGCAAAGAAAGACAGTGAGGGGTCTCAAGCTTAAACCTGGCAGTGAGGACAAGAAGTATACATGAATTATCCTTGGGAAATTGTTTCTCCCTAAATTTGAGACAGGGTGTGAGACTCTGAGCACATTTGCACAGGAGCATTTCACAAGTGTGCCCCAAAAGCAGTTGTGGGGACGAATTTGGCCTCCTTAAATGTTTGTACTGGCCAATAGCCACAGTTCACTTTCCATGTGCACATGGCAGGCTGTATGTCACATACATAGAAAGAACTTGCAAAGCATGTTGTTTTACCTGGCCCAGCATATGATTCTGAAGGAGCCAGCCCGTATAGGCTACTTCTAAAGAATCTCCAGTTTCTACAGCAGGACCCTCTGCTGCAACCAGGTCCTGACACAGCACTGCATCCAAGGAAGAAATGCTATTGCACTTAGCCACACACACCTGTGAGATCAAGGTCAGAACAGCATGAACTTGGTTTAAGCTTCACAGCCATCCCATCACTGCTAATATTCTTTCTCAAACAGCTGCAGCCACTAACAAAGATTACAAGGCTAGAAGTAAGCCATTCTGAAGTCAGTAATCTGCCAGGAATCAGGGTGCCCAACAAGTCACCACTGGAGTCAGAATGTCTGAGCACAGATTCAGGCATTGCCAGTTCTTAAGTCTGACCTTTGGCAAATAACTTAATCTCCATATACCCACCTGTTCCCACTTGCAAAAATGAAGAAAAGAGCTTTGCAAATCTTACAAGGTGGCTATGAAAATCAAACAGGCCAATACAGAGTGCTTAGCAATCCAACTAGGGAATAACAGTAAGCACACAGTGGGTCAGACCTCAGGATCACCTCCCAAAGACCCAACCTCCTACCATTACCTTAGTGATCAGTTTCAGTAATGTGACCTTTAGAGGGAAAGGCACATTCAAGCCATAGTAGGCAACATCCATATTACAAGCTTCTATATAATTTTCATGAGGTGGAAAGATAAAATACACAAAATACAGAGCTCTTGAAGGAATACACATACTTACACCTGTTATACAGTTTTTAAAAAGCAATTTGATGCATTAACATGTGTTACTCTGGGTAGTAAAGTTATAATTGTGTGTGTATGTGTGGAGGTTATGTTTGTGTGGTGCACATGTGTGTTCAGAGACATTTGCATGTGTACACGTACATGTGTGGAGGCTAAAGGCCTGATTTGAGAGTCGGTCCTCAGGCGCTGTCCTTGAATTTTGAGAAAGTGTCTCTCACTTGCCAAATAAGCTCTGCCAGCTGCCCAGTGAACCTAGGGATCCCATGTTTGTCCCCCAGTGCTGGATTATATGGATGCACCACCACTCTTGGCTCTTCCTTTTCCACCTGGTTCTCGGGATCTCGAGTACTCAAGTTTGTACATGGCAAGCACTTTACCAACTGGCCCTTAAATGATTTTTTTAAAATGCTGTTTCTACATTTCCTATAATGAGTTCATAAAATTTTGATAGTCTTTTGAAACGCTACTTTTACAAGTTTATGTATCTTTAAGAAAATTAAATAGCAAAAAAAGTGGGGATTTTTGTATGGGTATGTGCATGTGTAGTAAGTGTGTTCACATGTGTGGGCACATGGGTATATGGCTACATGTGTCTGGAGGTCAGAAGTAAATGTCAGGTGTCTTTCTGAATTGCTGTGTTTACTGAGGCAGGGTCTCTGTCTAAACCTGGCACTTCCTGATTCTGTTAGTCTATTTTTTTTTTTTTTTTGAGACAGGGTTTCTCTGTATAACAGCCCTGGCTGTCCTAGAACTCTCTTTGTAGACCAGGTTGGCCTTGGACTTACAGAGATCTAACTACTTCTGCCTCCAAAATGCTGGAATTAAAGGCATGCGCCACCATGCCCAACTACAACAAGGATTTTAATCACTGGGCCATCTCTCCAGTCCAGCAAAAGTGTTCAACCAAATAAGCTCATGTTTCCCCATTTTTCCCTTTAAACATTTCCTCAAGCAATTTCAATAAGATCTACTCTTTCCCTGAAATGCAGCAAGTTTAGTGGGATCTTTACCTTGTCATTAATAACACAGAGCAGTTGTGGTTTTGCCATAACTAAAATAAGGAAAACTCCAAACAAGTGCTCTAGCTTTGCACAGGAAAGAGTAAGAAGACGTCACCTGTTTATTGAATGCCACAGCGGCCTTCTCTGACTCAAACATGATAGACCAGTTTTGTCTCTGGTCATCATAAAAGGTACTGTAGTTATTGGGCCGAACCTGGGAAAAGAAAAAGAGAAGTTCGGCTCATTCAAGCAGAGCAGTCTGCAAGTAAATCTGACTGCCTCAGCTCACAGAGGAGAGCTAATCCAGGGGACTCAGAGAGGAAGCTAGCAAGAGCCCTTCTCCCCCGCCTCAGCCCACCCTATCCCTACCTCTACCCCAACACATTCTCAGAAGGAGCCAGGAGACCTTTCTGGAAGGCTGCTTACTGCTGTCCAGGCCTCAGCAGAGGATCTCTTTCTACCAGGAACGGCCAGGGCCATCTCTCCCACAATCCTAAAGGGGCTAGTGTTTCAAGTATGAGAACTCTTACCATTAGCTCAAAGTTCAGATGAATTGTAGCAACAGTCACTGGCTGCTGCTGACTGATGTAAAGAAGAATCCTATACTGTACTCACAACGGGCAGAAAAAGAAAACAGATGTTAAAAGGTAACACAGACTCAGCAGTAAGACATGAGGTCATGCTTCCTACAGCTATAAAGCCCAAACCTGCTCGGACTGAATTGGAATTTCTCACAGCCCCTTGCACCTCTTTGCATTCTGGCCTCACTCTTTAACCGTAATCAGCAATAGCTTTATTTTGCTGGCATTTCCATTCATATGCAGGGCAACTAAGAAATGGTAACTGGATGCTTTACTGAAAATGCAGGTCAGATTTGGTGGTGTATGTCTGTAACCCCAGCACTTGGGAGGTTGTGGCAGGAGGACTGCCATGAGTTTGAGTTCAGCATGAGCTATAGAATGAAACACCCTCTCAAAAACAAACACCAACCAACCAACAACAAAAATCTTTTAAATTTGAGGGGGAAAAACACACAAGTCATATGTGTACAGCTCAGTGATCATGGTACAGACTGAGAAAAGGCCAGCGTTTCCTACGTCCTAGATAGCTCCCTTTGCCCCCAATTATCAATATGTCTACCACAGAGAACCACTGCTCTGACTCAGTGACAGAGCAATTTCTCTATAGTTAGGTTAGTGTAAACGGCCTACAGATGTGGACTTTTGTTCTGCTTCTTTGACTTACACGGACTAAGCCTTGTCACTGTTTATCGGTATTGGCTCCATACTGTCAGTTACTACTATTCTACGTGAACATACACAACCTATTTATCTACTCTCCTTGTCATGACTATTCAAGTTGTGTACAGTTTGAAACCATTATGGATAATACATCTGTGAACCTTCTCCTTGAGGAGGACATGGACATACACACCTTCTTCTACCTAATGAACTTCCTTCAAAGTGTGCCAAAGTAACAATCTACTGACAGTGCATTCTCTCAACTTAAGATGTTGGCAAATTTATTTTGCCCTTATTTCTTACTGATATTTTTCTCCGTACAAGATTCCACAAAGAGGGTCAGGGGTAGAGCATGTACTTAACAAGATCATGAGTAAGAAAAAACATAAATGAATGTTGAGGATACTGAGCTAATAAAGCAAGTCAATCATAAAAAGATAAATACCACTTGATTCCATGAGGTATCTAAAGACAGTCATATTCACAGCTGTAACGCATTAGAGGATACGAAGGAGTAGCAGTAGGGGAGATGAAGGGTTACCCCTTAATGGATGGTTTATGTTTGAGATTATGGAAAAAATGTGATCAGTGGTGATGAGTTCTTAGTACTGGACATGTCACTGAAGCCACTGGATTGGGGCTGGAGAGACAGCTCAGCAGTGAAGAGCACAGTTGTTGTTCCAGAGACCGTGAGTCCAATTCACAGCACCCACACCGGTGGCTCCTAACTACCAGTAACTCCAGCCCTGAGGGATCCGACACCCTCTTCCGGCCTCTTTTGGCACCAGGCACACAAGTAGTACAGACATACATGTAGGCAAACCACCCCTGTACATAAATAAATACGAAATAAATTAATTAAAAAATAAATAGCCACTAGACTGTGTACTTAAACTGCAAAATTTTATATGTAAAAAATATATGTTACAATTAGCCTCCATGGATTCTAGTCCTATAAATTTAAACATATCTTTTCTTATATTCCTTAAATAAAATAGTAACTATTTATGTAGCATTTAGATTCTATTAGATGGTACAAATAACCTTGAGATGATTCAAAATATATGGAAGGATGTACAAGTACAGCCCTCTGCCACTTTACATAAGGAATATGATTTATATCACATATATCACTAATATATATCACAGATTTTCTTATTGTTAGGTAGGAAAGGACCCTGGAACAATCTCCCAGAGACTTAGGGATGACTGTGTGTACTTTATATGGATTGAACAAACACAAACATCCAAATAATTAAAATTCGCCCTTTGGGCTGGATACATGCTGGTTCAGCAGTTAAGAGCACTTGCTGCTCTTCCAGAGGATCTGGGTTTAATTTCCAAGTTCATGAGAGAAGGCTCAACACCATGTGTAAGCCTGACTCTAGGGAGCGGACACCTCTGGCCTCCGCAGAAACCTGCACTCAGAGCACATTCCCGCATGCAGACACAGATACATAAAAATAAATATATTTTAAAAGATGAAATTTGTCCTTGGAAATATTGGGAGCTGTCAGGGCAGCTGTGTAATTTTATGTGAGATATTTATTTTATTTTTCAAAGTGAAAGGCTGATCACTGTAGACTGAACTGGCTGTAAGAGGATTAGACATTATTAAGAATTGGTTTACCAGGGCTAGAGAGGTGGCTCGGTAGTTAAGTATACCTGTTGCTCTTGCACAGGACCCAGGCTTTTTTCCTAGTACCCACATGTGGCTCACCACCACCCTAACTCCAGCTCCAATGCCCCTTCTCACCTCTGTAGGCACTGTGCACTCACAATGCAGACAAAATATTCATATACCTAAATAAAATAAATTAATCTTTAAAAAAAATCTTTAACAATCAGTCTACCTCTGAATTGTTCTAATTCTTACTCAGGCAGGACCTTTCCAAGCTTTTGGCTGAAAGCCTAGAAAGTCTCTAACTCCTTGGTTCTTAAAGTTTTACTCAACAGGGATTTTAGCTGAAATCTTTAGCTACTTCCCCATGGAGTTTAAAATCTAGTAAATATAAGGAAGGAAAGATAGTTGCTACTTGTTGCAGGTTCTCTCTAGAGAAGTGTCTCTCCTATGCACCAGAAAGCTGCAGAAACTGTTCTGACTCTGGTAGTGCCTGGACTTCTATACCACCCCTGGATTCAATAAATGTCACACAGGGGATACTGCTGTGGAGCTGCAAGACTCCAGATCTGTCAGTTTCTCTTCTCTCAAGCACTCTCCGTTTGTGTCCCACCTGCTGCCTAGACTACACCTAAAATCAGCAACATGCTCAGGACACAGAACAGAGACATCTCGCTGTTGGTTTTTTTCTCTAAGATTTTATCTTCCCTTCATCATTTCTATAGCTCTCCAGTGAAGTGGGTTTTTTTTTGTTTTGTTTTCCCAAATAACTTTACAATATAATTTTTGCAATTTTTCTGTTTCTTTCTTTTTTAAGACAGTGTCTCACTATGTAGTCCTGTACTCTCTATGTAAACCAGTCCGGTCCTTGAGCCCACAGAGATCCTCCTGCCTCTACCTCTCAGATCCTGGGATTAAAAGGCCGCCACCCAGCTATCAGCTTCTACTCTTTACTTAATGTGAATGAGTGTTTTGTCTGCAGGTATGTCTGTGCACCATGTCTGTGCCTTGTGCCTGGTGCCTATTAAGGCCAGGAGAGAGCTTTGGATCCCCTAAAACTGGAGGTACAGATGGCTGTGAGCAGTGATGTGGGTGCTGGGAATTGAATCTGGGTCCTCTGAAAAGGCAGTCAGGGTTCTTAACTGCTGAGCCATCTCTTCAGCCCAAACTATATTTTATTTTTTTGTGTATGGGTGTTTCATCTGCATTTACGGCTGTGTATTTCACGCATGTTGTATCTACACAAGCCAGAAGAGGGCATCAGGTCCCTGAATTGGGATTACAGATAGTTATGAGCCAATATGTGAGTGCTGGAAACTCCAATCCCAGGTCCTCTGGAAGAGCAGCCGGTGCTCTTAACCACTAAGCCACATCTCCAGCCCCTTATCTGCTTCCTTATAATTGCTTCTCCAGCCTAACACCTCTTTCTGGCAGTCAAGCATAGTGGGGTCTCAAAACTAGAGTTCCAGATAACAGTCATCAGCATCTGCTAACACACAAGAGACATCTTTTGCTTCCTGATAGGAGGATGAAAGATTTAAGGGACACAGGAACCAACTGCAATAGATAACCTCACTAGATGTTGATTCAAATAGAAGTATAAAAAGAAAAACAATGGGGGGGGGAATAGAAATTTGAACACATCCTGGTAGTGACTAAGATGTTCTATTTACTTTTTCAGATGTGATAATGGTGTGGTAGTTTTAAGTATTTCATCTCTTAAAATTATATACTAAAGCATTTACTGCTGAATTTGTATACTAGAGATCTGTTCAAATTAACCTGAGTGGGCAAAGAGAGAGCTGAGGGTGGGTGACAATGGAAGACTAATGGCTGCTAGAGCTGAGGACTGATACTCGTGGTAATACTGAAGTCCCACTGACTTGTCTTAGAGTGTTGGCCATTGTATCAGTCACCATGGGCAACTAATCTTAGCTTTGTGCTGAGAATGGCAGAGCAGCAGGAACCCTGTATTCTCTGGGCCTCTGAAATACTAGAATTTCTTCTGTCTAGTTCAATAATCTCTAACTCAAAATCCTAGAGTGGTATTTGAGCCGGATGTACCAACTCAAGGAAGTCAGGCTTGAGGGCATTTAGTGACATCCACTATACTTCACCCTAATACAGCGATCAACTGCTCAGCCTGATTTTCAGACTACAAAGGATAAATATTGGTCTTTAACACAGGCAAAAAAATGGAATTCACTGACAGAATGACGAATGATCATTGCTACCCAACAAAGAGCATCCTTGACCATTTACTCTAAAGCCTCCCAGCTCTTACACCAGAACCATCACAAAGGAGATGTCTAGTCCAAGCATTCGGACATCAACACTTGTTTTAATGCCTAACAGTAAGCAAACTAGAGGCATCTACTCAATCCCAATAATCCACACGCGGTTATCATCAGTAGACACCCTTATCCTCTGACAGACAAGAAACAGATCCCAGACATTAACAGTATTTGGGATGTGGCACATAAATCAATGTGGGTCTTCTCACCTCTCTGGTTGTGTGGTTCCCCAGGACAGCTGCTCCAAATTTGCCCTGCTTTGCATATTGACCGTTTATGCTATTGAAGCAAGAATACGACAAATATCAGGATCCCTCTAAACCATGAAGAGCCAGTCTCTGTCCTGAAACAACTAGGTATTTGGCCTTCAGGAAAGTTCAGAGGTGGCAGCTTTTAATCTAAAGCTCTTGGCAACTTCTTTTTCTTTGAGACAGGATCTCATTGGTACAACTCTGGCAGATCTAGGACTCACAGAAAACCTGCAGACTGCCGCTCAAGTGCTGGGATTAACGGTAAGCGCCATCACATCCAGTCCCAACTCTTTTATTCTTCAATCATCTATTATACATAGTATCCCTAAAACCTCAGGACGCTGCTGGGAAGGGCCCAAACATTAACAGCATAGACAAGATAATGGCTTCAATGAGCACAGGCTTCTGAGAAAAGACAGGAACTGCAGTCTGCTCATCCATGGCCTCCCCCAGTTCCGAGGGTTTTCTCTCCCAGCTACTTACTAGCGGTATGCATGCACTGCAGTGGCAAACAACACGGAGGATGTGCCTGTGGTAGCTGGTGCTGGTTTTGGTGCTGTCTGATTTCCTGAATATGAAGAAAACAAAGGTGTCATTCATTTTTTGGTTTTTAACCTCAAAACTAGCCTCAAAAATCCCACTTCATGCTTCATAGTTAGTGTGTAACAATGCTTTCATTACCACTATCCTCATCCTATCCAGAGATAGCTCCGTGACCTTGTCAGGTAGTGAGGAAACAGACTCTAAATGACAGTAGATGAGGTTAGACTCACACTAGCCCCAATACCATACACCACAGACAAATTTTCTGGCTGGACAAGAAGTCTAGAAGACAGAGATATACTCTACTATTTTCTTTTCTCTTTTCAATGCTCTGACAGCTGAGGTATATATAAAAGTAAAGCTGTTTCCTTCTCTAGTACACGGAATGTAAGGTGATAGTGTAGACAAGAGTTCCTGTGAGGAACTCTAGCTAGTGCTAAACTTCCTACAAGGCACATCAAGTGATTAGAAGGCCAATAACTGGAGTTATTGGCTGAGGTAGGAGTGTTCTTTCCAGTTCAGAGCCCAATTACGACCTATCCTGTGTTGTCTTCAGCCCCTTAATAGCCCTCCTTTGCCCACTCCTATATCTAATCTAACATCTGGTGACTAACAGGTGGGGCCTTTTGGAATCTATTGACTTAAAGACCACTAGCTTCCACCAACCAAATGGCAAAGAATGTCATCAGACAGCATCTGAGGCCTACAGCAAAGATTTTTCTCAGTCTGTTTGAACCTCATGTCTCCACCACAGCATGTGAAAAGTGTCTTGATTTGTGACTCTTTTTTTTTTTCTGTTCCCATAAAAATTCACCAAACTGTTACCATATTGCAACATGGGATTTGGGGAGACCTCAATCTGTGTTCCTGGGCCACAGTGGCTCATATTTGGCTTCAGAACAAACTCTTGTCCCCTTTGAGGTGATGACTATATTTCTGCATCAACATTTAAATCACAGTCATTACCTAAATCTGTCAAGGGCTCTACAGTAACATTATGTTTTAAAATAGCATATTAAAGGTAAATTACATTCTGATATTGTTTTGGTTTTTGTCTGTCTCTCTGTCTGTCTGTTGGAGACAGGGTCTCCGTTATGTAGTCCAACTTAGCCTGGAACTCATGTCTGTCTCATCTCCTGAGTGCTGGGAACCACAGGTGTTCACCTCCTTACCCAGTGCTAAGCTCCCTAGATGCATGTCTAGATAGAAAAGTAATGAGAAAGCACTAACAAAAACTCAGTGAGCTTGCTTTCAAAACCTTCTCTCTTCTCTGTTTGAACGCCTCTCAATTTCAGAGTAAAAGGCATTGCAGAAAGTCAGACAGACATATGAAATCACAGTGAAAACAGAAACCACCTAGAACCTCCTCAACCAAATTAAGCATGAGTAAACTGAAGTGCTTGTTCTGAGTACTTTCTATGTACACATAAGCTCTGCAGTAGCTTTTTTTAGTATTTTTAAAACAAAATAAAGACTCAACTTGGCCTCTTCCACTTCTCCCTGACTACATTATAAGTCTTTTCAATATTCTTCCAAAGAAACCTAGGCGGGTGGCTCACGGCTACTGCCCTAAATGCTGCCTCTTGACAGCTACACAAACCACTAGACTGACTCTAAGAATGTTCCTCATTTCTTACTGTGCTACATTTCTTTGGGCAGATACCAAATTTTCTGTTATGCATAATGTTATGGAGAGCATCTTTAAAACACACTTTTGTGTGTGTGTGTGTGTGTGTGTGTGTGTGTGTGTGTGTGTGTATGTGGCCTCTGACTCTTTTCTTAGACAAAGTTCCTGAAAACAGAATTCTGAGATTAACTAGCATAAACAACAAATTTGTCTTGACTCTCCCCTGCCCCAGAGAGTGACCTCTGGGAATGCCTTAGCAATTTACACTCCTCCCATCAGGAGTACAGCTGGGGCTGCTCCACATCACTGCCAAGGGGAAACTGTCTTTTTAAGTCTTCACTGAGAAAGAGGACTACAGGAAAAGGGGAGTACCATCTCATTGCTGTTTTACGTGACCTTACTGATTATATGGAAGCGGAAACTAAACATTTCCCAGGATCCAGAAGCAGGATGCTAGCTTAAAAAGAACGAGAATGAGCTCTGAAAATGAAGTGACCACTGTGTTATTTACTTATGTTCTAGGTGGTATGTTCTATGTTTTCTTACTGTGTTTAGAGAGCTATATGCAGTTTAGTTTAATCTGCACTTTCTGGTTGTATGCAGGACTATGATAAATCATTACTCCTGATGAAGCAATCTATGGCAGTGGGGTGGGAAGGCCAGTGTTAAACAACCTAGACAAGCATGAAACTCAGAAAGAAAAGTCACTATCTGGGAGGCCAGTCCAGGGTCCTCCTCAGCTTCTTGGAAGTCCTCTCAGGCTATTACTGCTACAGCTCCTGTCCTGAAGTGGAAAGGCTGTTTCTGCATCTGCCAGGGACACAGGCAGAGCATAGCCATCATTCTGTGATCCTCCCATTGGCTCAAGATTCTTCCTCTCAAGTCAGCGTTATTCTCATTCTTGAACTTGGCACTCAAGAGGAAATCTTGTAATGTGTAGTCTTAAAAACAATTTTTTTTGAGCTCTGCTGGGTAGGCGATTAGACGGTTCGGGGAGCTCTGCTGGTTGGTGTTTGGCGCTCTGGATCATAATCCTCTCTTCTGTCATTTGTGTATGCTAGATTGGGGGCTGTCTCGAACCTAAGGCAGGAAGATGGTAGCCACAAAGAAGACGAAAAAGTCTCTGGAGTCGATCAACTCTAGGCTCCAGCTTGTTATGAAAAGTGGAAAGTACGTGCTGGGGTACAAACAGACTCTGAAGATGATCAGACAAGGCAAAGCGAAGTTGGTTATCCTCACCAACAACTGCCCAGCTTTGAGGAAATCTGAAATATAATACTATGCCATGTTGGCTAAAACTGGTGTCCATCACTACAGTGGCAATAATATTGAACTGGGCACAGCTTGTGGAAAATACTACAGAGTATGCACACTGGCAATCATTGACCCAGGTGATTCTGATATTATTAGAAGCATGTCAGAGCAGACTGGTGAGAAGTGAACAAGAAAGTATTCCTTTAATAAAACTTTGCCAGAGCTCCTTTTGGAAAAAACAAAAAACAACAACAACAAAAAAAACACAATTTTTTTTTAAGCAAAGTTTCCTTAACTTAGTCTTCTTGTTCAGGGGATGATTAGATATTCTTCTTATCTTCATTATTCATTAGTGAATTTATCTTGAGACCTTTTTAATCTCTTCATTAAAAAAAAAAAAGACTTTCTTCAATCTACTGTACCTTTAAAGGTAAAAATCTCTGTCTATTTACTCCTGTGTACCTTCTAGTTTCTCCTTCACTTGAAAAATAATTTTTCACAGGAAAAAAATAAATCTACATACCTTCATGAAGAAAAAGAAAACAAAAAACAACAAAGACAACAACAAAACTGGACCCATATGACTGAAGGAGACAGCTGACTCCTATAAGTCATCCTCTGACCTCCAAACCTGAGTCATGGCATGCATATACCAATATACATGCATATGCCTATACACATACACACAATCAATCAATGCATTGGGGTGTGGGGTGTCAAGACAGGGTTTCTCTACGTAGCTCTGGTTTTCCTGGTCTACCAGGCTGCTCTCGAACTCACAGAGATCTGCCTGCCCATGCCTCCCCAACGCTAGGAACAAAGGTGTTGTGCCACTACACCCCAAGCAATCAATCCATTTTTTTAAATGAGAAAAAAAATCAAGCTATTTCATCAGATAAGCCTGGGTGTTTTTTTCTTTTACACCTATATGGACAAACACTTTATTAAAGTCAGAAGCACACAGCTAAGGAAGAAAGAGGGAAATACACAAGGAACACTAGCCCGATGGGCTGCGGTAGGGTACAATTTGATCTTGTTCCCACTTCCTAAATCCTTTGTAGTTTCCTCAGTAGTAAAAATAGGAGTGTCTTTTGAGAAATATATCTTGCATAATGCTCCTCAGAATTTCCTGGAGTCTTTTGTGATTAGTTCCTTTAGTCATAACTGAGTTTATGCATTGTCAGGCATGGAGACATATGCCTGTAATCCCTGCCTGTGAGAGGCAGAGACAGGAGGATCTGAAGCTAGAAACCAGCCTGGTCTACATGTTGAGCCCAACAGAAGAAACCAAAATAGAGTTACTTATTTTAGAATTCCATATCATCAAGAAAAAAAAAAAACAACATTTTTAAGCTAAAATTTTTTAAATCAAAAGAGATAAATAATACCTAAATACCCAAATTTCATGTGGCTGTGTCTGGTGTCATGTGAGATGCCTCACACAGACCAGTTTTTATGGCCTATTTTCCTCTTTTACCAGGTAAGGAACTTCAAAATGGCTAATCTACTTTTCTGGATTCTGATCTACTTTTCTGGATTCTGGATTCTTCAGCTCTTTTCTGTCTATCTAAAGCCAAAGTCCTATTCTCCATTCATCAGGACACCTCATTTTACAGAATGGTATTTGTCGATTCTAGGACTGCAAATGAAAACCAGTTAAGAAAGGTCTTAAAACTTGGCTGAAATTTTGTCTTTTGACATTGTTGCTGAGGTAACTCAGGGTGGGGCTCCTGAGGACAGAGCCAGCCACCAGAAAGACACAGTAATTACAGGATCAGGGACTATAACTTTCAGCTACACTCACCGATCTTAGGAAAGATGGGCTAGAACAAGCTGTATAGAACTGTTAAGCACGAAATTTGAAGAGCTTCCAGGTTATAAAGCATACAAAGTGCTAGGAGGATGGTGTGCCCAGAAAGAGGGTGGTGATACACCCAGAGAAGGGGTGGTGATCCACCAGGGAAGGTAGTCCACCCAGAGAGAGCCCACAAACTATGCATCCTTTCAACTTACTCAACCATCCTCTCTTCATCTCTTCACCTGGCTGTAGCTGGCTCTTATAATATCTTTTCTAATACATAAACAAATATTAAAAAAAAAAAAAACAATTACCTCGAGCTCTATGAGCAATTCCTGTCAATTAACTTAACCTAGGAGAGGGTGCCATGGCACCCTTGGTCAGAAGCACAGATGGCCTGACTAATGATTGGCATCTTAAGTGGAGACAGTCTTTATAAAACTAAACCCTCTATCTAGGGGGTCTGACATTATGTCTGGGCAGATAACTTCAGAATTGAACTGAATCACAGGATACTCACATGTTGTCAGGTGCAGAACTGCATAGTGCATAAGGAAAATCCTACACACCTCTCGCACCACAGAAGCATGCAGCGCAGAGTCCAAGGGACCAGACAGTAGTGTTTGTGTCTTCTCCTTACATGTCCATACATGAGGGATCTGCTTCAACTACCCCTCAGCATCTTGCCAAGTATCAGACTAGTCAGCATCATTCCTGGCACGTGAAAGCCCCTCCATACTTTGATCTTCAAGTATTTAATAGAATGTCCCTCACACTACCTACTCTCCTCGGGACTCTCCTATGACCAATCCCTTATCCTCTTTGGCTTCTTACCTCAAAACAGCAAAGTGCAGAGGAAAGAACAAGTTGTAGAGTCAGTCAATTCAGAGTTCAAATTTCAATTCTGCCATTACAATTGACTAACCAAATTCCTAAACTGCTCAAAGCCTCCAAAGTCTGGTCATGTTGTCCACTTGACAGATTACTGTGAAAATGAAATGACAATCCATGGAGGACCTAAGACAGAGCAGGCACCTCAGAAGTGTCAGTCTCTCACACTCCAGTTTCTGTCAGCAGATGCTGTTTAATGATTCCTGTATCCTCCATGATGAACGCACCAGATGCAACAATGAGTGCTTCGGGTAGTTTTGGAGACAAGGGGCAGAAGAATCTGCCTGCTATTGTGCTGTCAGTTCCCAACTAAGGGCTCAACTAGCTGCTAGAAACCAGAACCTGAGAGCTTCAGCAGGCATTCACTACTGGCGGTAAGCTTGGGCTCACGGGTGGAGGGCAGGGGACTCGGTGTGCGCACTGTTAACATTATGTGTTGTTGTAACCAAATAACTGACAAAAGCGACTTAAGGAAGGAGGGAAGGAGGGAGAGTTTACTCAGGTCCACCGTGTTAGGGAAGGCATTGCAGCAGGAACGTGTGTACTCCAGTCAGGAAGCAGAGAGAACTGGATGCTGCTGTTCTGCTCACTTTCTTCTCTTCGCTCAGTGCTGCATCCCAGCCCATGTATGGCTCCACCCACATTCGGAGTAGGTTTTCCCATCCAGTTAACCCAGTATAGAAACTTCTCACACATATACTCAGAGTTGGTTTCTTAGGTGATTCTAAATCTTATCAAATCAACGAAGATTAACCATCATAGCATGTCACTTTCCAACATGCAGTTAGCCATTCCAACCAACCTATTAAGACATAACCCTTATGCCTCTTAACTTACCTGTTGCTGCTATTCCCTGGCCTTTCTTAGGCTGCTTTGGGGCTGTGTACTGGAAGAATTCATTTCCATGGCCCATAGTTGCTTGATCCAGTCCAAAAAGAGAAGCCAGCTTGGCTCTGTTAAAGAAAAAGGAAAATAAAATGCTATTTGACATATTCCAAACTGTACTCACTCTACACACTGCTGCCCCTACTTAAGTATCTCTAATGGTGTAACTCCCCATTCAGTAACAGAAGTAGCAGTTGAGTCTCTGAAATCAAGACTGTGTTTGTGATTTGACAGCAATGGCTGACCTAAGCTCCAGCTTATTGTTCTTCCTAAAGATTCCTCAAATGCATTCACCACACCCCAGATCAACGCCAGTTCCTCAGTTTATGCTGTCCTCACCTCTGTCTAGTTGGACTACTGCAACAACCTCCTGATCCACCTCCCTGCCCATGTCTTATGTAGTTCTTTATCTCCCAGCTGCCCCAGCTCTACTGCAGTACTGAGGGATTGACCATAGGGCCTTGAACATGCTAGGCAAGTGTTCTACCACTGAGCTATACTCACTACCACCACCCCTTCTGCTGTTACTTCACTTTACAGTGGAGTGTTGTTAAATTGACCAGGCTGGCCTTGAACCCTCAATCCTCCTGTGTAGCTGGGATTACAGGGTTGTGCCACCAGACCAAATTCTTCATATTTCTTCTAATATACTCTACACACTGCATCCACATGATTATTCCTGATGACTCTTCAATATTAGTAAGATACAGACTTGGACCTTGGGCTACCAGGATGACTTGTAAGTAAAGGTACTTGTCACCAATCCTGATCATATGAGCTCAATCTGTAGAAACCATGTGGTAAGGTTGAAAATTCCTACAAGTTACCCTTGACCTCCAAACCCATGCCATGATACACATGTGTGCCTGCACCCATGCATCTACACATACATGCATAAGTGTGCCTGTCCACACATAAGCATGCAGGTGCACACGTGCGCGCGCGCACACACACACACACACACACACACACTATAAGTAAACAAATGTAAAAAACTCTTTTTTTTTATCTAATCTCTGCACGATGGTTTTAGAGGCTCCTTCAAGATTTCATAGTCTCTCCTTACACAACTTCATACTTGGCCATTTCTCATTTCTATTTGTGTGCTACAGCTACTATAAGGAACTTTCAGGTTTTTTCTATGTAAAGATTTTTTAAATTATTATTATTATTATTATTGGGTTTTTATTTTTGAGCCAGAATCTCACTATCTCCTATCTATCCCTAGCTGTCCTGGAAATCATGATTTAGACCAGGACGGCTTCAAACTTAGAGAACTGTCTGCCTCTGCCTCCCAAGTTCTGGGATTAAAGGTGTGTGCCACCACGGCCAGCAATAATTTTTTTGTTATGTGTATGAATGTTTTGCCTATATATGTGTCTGTGCGTCACATGTATGCAGTGCCTGCAGAGGCCAGAAGGGGACATCATATTTCCTGTGACTTGCATTACAGAAAATTGTGTGAGCTGCCATGTGGGTTAGGAATCAAACCGGGATACTCTGGAAGCCAGTGCTTTTAACTTGTAGGCCATCTCTGACTCCCTTCAGTTTCTTATATAAGGTAAAAATGGTATTTTTTTGGGGGGGAGGGAGGCAAATGCTGAAGATTAAACTCAAAAGTCTCAAAGAAGGATGAGCACAGACTTGATTATTAAGCCACATCTCCAGGCCAAGGTAAGATCTTTTTTAAATCCAGCCTTTAGAAATGCCTGAGGCATTCTTTCTGGCTGCTCTTCTTGGAAGCTTCCCTAATCTAAGTTAGATGTTTTCCTACAGCTTAAGAGATGTTAGACACTAGGTAAACACAGGTGAACAAGACTGGATTATTTTTACAGAAGTATATTATCAAATGAGGGGATTATATATTAAGTAACATTTAATCACAAAGTATGAATTATCCAAGAGGGTGACAGTTATATGGCAGTATACCCCACCAACTAATTCCTAAATTTCTTTCCCATAATTCCTTACCCAGTATGTTATATTCTATTATAACAACACAAATCAACTGAGAAAATAATTAGCTCTCAAATCCAGCTGGCACTGAACTCCTCCTCTCCAAAGTTATTCTTAGTTTGGGTGTACAAACTCTGAAGCTTCTCAACAATTCAATTCTTCTGACTTTAAAAATGTAATTTATGTGTGTATATAAATATAAGTTAGTATTTCATGAAATACATTCAATGTAATTTGGTGGTGGATGACATACAGAAGGAACTGCAGTAGACAAGTAAGCTTCCTGAAGATGGTCTACCATTTTGCACAGCCGCAGTGAATGTACCAGGGGCTTTGTCTCCAGATTCCTTCTTGCTGCTGCTGTGCCTTCTCATTTTGTCATTGCTGTGTTCCTCCAGTGTCTAGCGCGGTGTGAGGGGATGTAGGGAGACCCTCACTGCCTATTGTCTGGTATGATTGTTTCTTGGGAGACAGACCACTCTATTAGACAATTTTCCTGGAGATCAATATGAAGATGAACTTTCATAAAATAATAGTTTTCATGAACTAATGATTTTACATAATTCCTCATTTGATTTAAATAGTTTTAGGAAGTTAGGATAGCTGATAGAAAGTTTAAAGGAGATGGTTTAAGCTGTTTTGCCAAAAGGATATAAAAAGGTTAGAATAAAGAACAGAGCATGCCCCCTCCTTACAGAGTAATGAGGGATGCATGGGTGAGCTAAGAGAAAAAAATAAAGTTGTTGGAGCTTGCTTCATCCACCAAACGTGTGTGTGTGTGTGTGTGTGTCTATGTGTATGTAGCACAGTGAGCGTTCATGGGTTACAAGCATGCAATTGTACTTGGAAAGGAAAGATAGGCTTGGGACAAGTTAATAATCAAAGAAAACATTAATTCTAGGTTGGGTCTGAGTTCCTGGATCTTGTGATCTAGGGATGTGGCCACAGATTTTGGCGTACACCATGAAAAGACAGGGTTATGAATAAAGAGTAAATAATTCTATTCTGAGTATAAGACTAGAAGATAAGTGACTAGCCAGTTTAGCTGAACAAGGCTTTAAAAATAAGACATAAGATGATGACCTGGTTTTTTTTTTTTTTTGGTAAATACAAATTGTTGTCAGCTAAGCATAGGAAAAAACTACAGACTGCTACTACAGATTGGTTTGTTTAAATCTTGTTAATCAGTGACAAAAGAATTACAGCTTTAGGATAAAAAAAATCAATCTCCATGATGAACTTGTGGAGAGAAAAATAGATGGAAAAGGTTTAGTTAGGTATGAGCTTCAAAAGAACAATACATAATCAATAATCCTGTTGTAATTTCCTTATGTGTAATGATTTCAATCTCTTCTTGAAGAATATTTTTTTGTGGTGATTGATTCTTTTCGGAGAATATGTAACTTGTAGCTATGAGGTAATCTTTTTTCTTACATAGAGAAATTTTGTCTTAGGTGGTAAGCTAAGAGAAAAAATAAAGTTGTTGGAGCTTGCTTCATCCACCAAACGTGTGTGTGTGTGCGTGCGTGTGTGTGTGTGTGTGCGTGTGTGTGTGTGTGTGTTTGGTTGAAGCTTTGCTCCATCCACCAAGTGTATATATGTCTACATATGAATATATGAAAGGTGGTTAGAACTTGTTGAAACTTGCTTCATCGACAGTGTGTGTGTGTGTGTGTGTGTGTGTGTGTGTGTGTGTGAGTGTGTGTATGTTCCCTCATCCTATTCCTCACCCCCAGGGAGCTTCACTGGTCTAAGAGAATCACGCTTTGTTCCCTCAGAGAAAAGTCTTCTGAGTGATCAATCACCGACTCTCTACACCCTGCCTTAGTTTACTCTGGATGTTGAAGCTGGCCTTTGACACTTTGGTACTATTATTTTCTTAATGAATCTAGTATGTTTCCTTCAAATGTCCTATAAATGGGGCCATAGATACATTGAAGACAAAGATGTTTAGACGACAATGCAAGGGTAGTACTTGAGAGTAATGCTGACTTAAGACATTAGCACATGCTAAAAGAGCATAGAGGAAACTGAGATTTACTTTCCTTTTGGCCAGGGTGACCTGAAGACTTCCTCCTCTTTCTTTCTTTTTTAAGACAGTGTCTGACTACGTAGCCCTAGCTGCCCCAGAACTCCCTATGTAGACCAGGCTGGACTTGAACCCACAGAAATCTACTTTCCTTTGCCTCCTGAGGGCTGAGATTAAAGGCATGTGCTACCATGCCTCGCCGAGGCTCCTTAAAGGAGTAAAATTCTGGGAGAGTTGAGCAATATCTTTAACAATAGTGAAAAAGTGTCCAATCTTATATGCACTTTAAATTTTTAGAAATGTATCACTATTGCAGATGTATAATGCATACACGTTTGCATTGTGCCATGTGTGCATGCAGGATCAGAGGGCAACTTTGTGGAGTCGGTTCTTCTATCTTCATGAGAATTGAACTTAAGTTGTCAAGGCTTTATCCACTAAGCCATTTTGCTGGCCCAAAACTTAAATCTAGATAAGAAATAATTGCTTACACACAAATAATTGGTAATAAAAAGAAAGTCAGGTGGCAATGTCACTCAGATCACTGGTAGAGTACCTGAGCCCAAGAATTTAAGAACTTCCAGGGCAATACATGAGATGTGATTTCAAAATAAAGCCTTGTGGGAGCTGGAGATATGGCTCAGATGTTAAGAGCACCTTTTGCTGCTACCGAAGGCTTGGGTTCAGTTCCCAGCACCCAGGTGGTGGTTCGAAACATCCTGTAACCCCGATTCCAGAGCATCTGATGCCTTATGCACATACTCTTACACATTAACATTAAATAAGTAGATATAAATTTTCAAAAGCTTTGTGATTATGTTTATTTTTGTTGGATTGGTTTTATTCTACTGCTTAAATAAAGTGTCTTAGGTGTAGGAACGATATCTTCAAAATATATTATTTCCTATATCTTATTCCTCTCTGTATTACCTGAAGTTAAATATGAAATACTTAGTAGACATTTGCCTATTTCTTCATTTCAAGTCATATTGGTGGGGAAAGGGCTAAGAAAGAAGAAGAAGGCATGGCTTTTGGTTACTAGTTTTAGGTTAACCATTGACTTTAAGGTTGGAGAATTTGGCCGTGCCTGGTGGCTCATGCCTTTAATCTCAGCACTCAGGAGGAAGAAGCAGACAGATTTCTGAGTCGGAGGTTAGTCTAGTATACACTGTGAGTACCAGGACAACCAGAGCTACATAGTAAGATCATTTCTCAAAAAACAAGCAAGTAAACAAACAAGAAGAGGCAGGGGAACTTGAAAAGCAGATTATCAGTCACTGAAACAGCCATCCTAGGCATCAAGTGCTCTTGCTTCAGTTAGTCCTCAATAAGATCAAAAAAGCTAGAAGGTTAAGTCAAACATAGGGAAGCAGTTTTAAAGTAAACTGTATTTATAAAAGAGGAACTGGAAAGGAGCTGCAGTGTTCACTGTCAGATGGTCTACTTCCTTAACAAAACCAATAGAGGAATAGCCAAATCAGAGAATGCACACAAAACTTTCTCTAGGCTTCTTTTCTTTGTTTTAGTTTACGTGTGTGAGTGTTTTGTTTGCATGTATGTCTATGCACCATTTGCATGCCTGGTACCCAAAGAGGCCAAAAGATGGTCTTGGATTCCCAGGGACTGGAGTTACAAGATGGTTGTGAGCCACCTTGTGGGTGCTGGGAATCAAACCCAGTTCCTCCAGTGCTCTCAACCACTAAGCCATCTCTCCAGCTCATTTTTCCTATTCTTAATCTTAAGTTTGATTCTGTTTTCCTAGCTACTACCGGGGACAAAATATATTTTTCCTAGCTACTACAGGAGACAAAAATTTATCTGTATAGCTCTCTTTGTTGAGTCTTTTATCATCAAATTGTCTGTTTTCTATGCCTAGGACCAACAGTCATATGTGTAAAGTATCTTCAATCCTTAGCTAAGCCTTCCAGGGAAAGGAGATTGGGACAGGAAGAACTTATCTTGGGTCAGGAATCAGGAGAAGAGCACATGACTGTCACGGTCTGCCTTGTCAGCAGCAGATTCTTTGATGCATGAAAGTTGGAAGCCTTAAAATTCCTTCATAAACTTTCCTCAAATACTTGGTCTATATAAAGAATTCCTGGCTAGCCAGGACTTCATAGTGAAACTCTGTCCCAAATAAATAAACAAACCTTGAAGATATTCAAAAGGCCCCATATAGAGATATACACAAAACAGGCTGTAGCCAAATGTCCAGCCAACAGCAGCAAAGACTGTAAATGTTTTGGGTGACAAAGGAAAGAAAGGAAACAATGCCCAGTTACCTCAAAAATAATGGAGAAACTAAATGAAGTCAAAGTGGAGATAAGTGGGTGCAGGCATTCTCAGGTGGGGCCCTGGGAGAATGAGGTGGTGAGAGTGCAATGCAGAGCCACTCACTGGGTGTCAAAGGATCTTAACCATTGAAGACCAAATAAGAGGGGCTGGGGAGATGAATCCATGGGTAACGTGCTTACTGTACAGAGTTCAGATCCCCAGCAAACATTAAAAAAAAAAAAAACAAGTGTGGTGATGGGTGCATACTGGGAGCTTGCTGGAAAACCAGTCTAGTCAAAATGGTAAGCTCAGATTCAGAGAGAAAACATTTCTCGAAAAAATAAGTGGAAGTCTACAGAGAAGGACCCCTAACACTGAACCTCTGTCCTCAACAAAGACGTTCACAACATGCATGCATCACACACACATACACATAGTCAAGAGAGCCAGTCATTTTATGGTCACCCCTGTATTGAATGCCCAGTATTCTAGAAGATGAATTACTATTGGTAGGATGGATGATTGGCATATTGATCTGTCAGTCATTCTTAAGTAGGTTCATCACTATGCACAAACTTGTAAAGCCATGTTTTCAAAGAAGGCCTCTGCAAAGATGTGAGCTTTGCAGTTAACAAGTCTGAAGGGAGACAAGAGGTCCACTAAGACAACGCAAAGGAAAACACTTGGCTAAATTATTAAAAAGAAATGGGAAAATCTTGCCTGCCATTAAAGACTTCTATCCCAAGATAGTATGTATGATGTTTGAAGGCAGAAGAAAACGAATGCAGTCCTTCCCATTGGCTTTAAGCCTTAGGGCTTAAAAAGTGTAATTTCGCAGGCACTTTCTGAGCAATCAATATGCACTAGGAGTTACTATTCTGAGACCTATACAGAAATGAACAACATAAACAGTCCAGTCGGGGCTTAGATTTCAGTAGGTTCCATGTGCAAAGACTCTTGGAAATAAGGAAGATAAAGCAGTCTATTCCGCCCAGGACTTGTGAGGGTAGAGAATAACCGAAAAGGTAACATCCGAAGTAGGCTTTGAAGGATGCCAGAGATGACCCACCAGGTCCTGGTTCAAAGTGTCACCACCCTGTTCACTAGGAAGAGAAAGTCTCCAGAATTTACAGCTCATATATTTATTATAGGAGCTGACTCCTATATAAACTCTGAGGGAGGCAGTCTCCCCAGTAATCATCTCCATTTCACTGGAGACACTGTGATTCACAAAGCAAAAAGGTGTCAAGGGAGAAACCAGGTCCTGAACCCAGATTGGCCGATCCGACACCGCTGCTCAGAATGCGAAGTCTAAGCGGTGGAACGTGAGGAGGGTCTGTCTAGACCCGGAAGTTGAGACGAGGCCTGAGAAGAGACCGACCCCTGCAACCACCCGCCAGTCTCTCAGTCCAGCGCTCTCGCCCAGTTTCTCAATCACTCACCCGCCGCTTGGCGAGAGGAAGTCGGTGTCATCCTCGTCTCCGGCACCGAACATCACATCGGCTTTCGCCTAGCTGAAGGGAGGAAATTGGATGTTCCCCGGGCCTGTCACCACCGGTAACGTAAAATGCCGTGGCGGCGAGCTGCTTTCCGGCAGGACAAACTCTCTTAGAGTAGTGAGGCCCAGAGGAGACCCAGCCGTAGAGAAGGTGGAGCAAAGGCAAATGAGGAGGTGAGCTCCCAGTGACGCAAGGCCTCGCCAGCCCTCCGAGGGGGTGGAGTTCCTAGGTTCTGAGCGATGATTGGTCAGATAGCTCAGGGGGCGGGGCCAGGGCGGGAATCGGCGGCCTTTACTGCGGTCGTGGGACACGTCGAGCCGGGCAGTAGTGGCGGGGGCTTGGGAGAAGTCCAGACCGGGTTAGAGGTCCAGTTCTGAGAGGAAGACTCAAGCGGCGGGGCTTGCCCTGGGAAGGTAAGGCCTCTCCCCTTCCTTTCCCAAACCCGGCTTGTTCGCTGTCCTTTTCCCTCCCGAATCAGGACCCCCGTAGCAATCTTGGGCTGGGCAGAAGGAGAAAGAGACCGCGACTAGAAGTCATGGGATCTGAGCCGTGCGTTCGCCGGGACCCTACAGCGACATTGCTGTTATGACCCTAGGCAGGGTGCTCAGTGCCTCAGTTTCCCCATCTACGCAAGGGACTGTGTGTCCAATGTCTCCATATGCGGTTTGCCGAGGTTTTAAATCTCTGAAATCATCGAGTCCGATTTAGATTCTTCGTAATAAACTAATTTTGCAGACAAGAAAACAGGAGAACTAGCCACTTGGGTGATTAGTCCGAGGTCACATAGAGTAAAGGGCAGACCCGGTCCTTTGTATCAGGATTTAGAGGGCTGATGAATGAAGAAGCCTGGCCCTTAACTAGACTGTGTGACATACGGATTGGGATAGGACCCCGTTTCTAAAGTCCACGTAGGAGAGGTCCAGAAGAGCTGGGAGAGTGGATGATGGACGGAACTTTGGAAGTAGAAAATCCTCAGCCAAAATCCTTTGCTGAGCTGAGTTTTGCTGCCAAGGTTTTAAGTCAACATTAGTTGTTGCTGACTTCGCCTCCAGTTTTCGCCCTCACTGTGAGTGTCTTCTGTATTTCTTTGGTTAACCTGGTATCGTTTTTTGAACTGTCTTTCGGCTTAGCCAAGCTGTGGATAAGCAGATAGTGTGTCCCAGACCATTTCCACAGATCTTATAGGAAGTTCTTTCTGGTTTTCTTCCCAGTCAGGTTGGTCCTGTAAGTGTTGCTTACCGAACAACATGCTTTAGTCTCTTCTGATGATACTGAAGAGACTGGTAGCGCTTTCCCAGAAAACTCTGTACCTCTTGGCACTTCCCCTGTGGGGCTTTTTATTACAGTTTTTGAACTACCAACTTGTAAGTCTTCTTGCCCACAGTGGATTCTCATTAATTTTTTATTAGATTGAGTAATATAATTTATCTTTCTTCCCTTGTTCCTTAATTTACTTTCAGGGTTTTTTTCCCCCATGTGACCCAAAGAGCCCAGCAATGGCTCTTGTCTTTTATAGGTAGCTTCCAGAAAGATAAAAATGCTGTACTGGCTGTGAACTGTCTGGGTTGCTTGGTCTCTTTTGTTCGTTGAAGGTGACTGTACTATTGTCTAAAACTCCAGGGGAGGGGGAAGGGGAAATAGTGTAGTTAGAAATATTATATGTTACTTATACTTTTTGTGAGTAAATTATTCCTGTTTATCTGCGGATAAGGCTGCTGGTCTGCTTCCTGTGTTTATTTTACAGATTAAGAGGGTTAAAGCAGTGAAATCCAACTGTTAAAGCAATGATAAACTGGAATCCGGATTGGAGCCTGTAGCAGTAACTCTGTTTAACTTGTGAACCTGAGTGGGTAGGGATGAATGGACAAGTTCTAACCCTGCCCTAGGCCTGATCACTCCAGCACTAGAATATTTCAGGATTTATTTATTTATTTATTTATTTATTTTTGAGGTGGTCTATTTGTGTAGCTCTGGCTGTCCTAAAACTCATTATATAGACCAAGCTACCCTTGAACTCTCACAGAAATTCACCTGCCTATGCTTTTCCAGTGCTGGGATTAAAGACTATGTCACTAAACTGAGTTTTTAGCAATTTTTTTAAAAAAAATAGGGAGCAAAGCCCAAGAGAGCATCTGAACTCTTTCCCTGCATTCTGTGTGGAGGTGTTTCTCTGGTGGGTGTTTGAAATGGCCTTTTTTTAGGTATTCAGTAACCCTAAAACTGGCATGTTTGGTGATTGGGACATTGTAGGCAGGCATATCTGATCTTGAATTTTGTTAGCAACATGAGAAAGGGAAAGGTGGAAATGGGTCTTCCTCAGTCTTTCAGGCTTAGAATTGGAAATATAAGATCTGGTGCATCTGGAAAGCCAGTGTTCCTGGATTAAAATATCCAGATTGGTACTATTGGAGTTGGAGTCAAGAGACCTGAATTCCTGCCCCCCCCAGCCTTGATAACTACTCTGAGTTTGGGCCAGGTTCCCTATAAACACCTTAGAAAAGGAACAGATCAGATGTAGACACATCTGCTGAGAACTGAGAGTTCAAAGGTTAGTAATAAATACAACCATGATGTCAAGTTTGAGTTCAGTATTTTTGTTCATTTTCTTAACCATACAGCTCTGAAATATGTATAAAATGTATTGATCATCAGGTGTAGTGGCACACACACCCCTTTAATCCTAACATTTAGGAAGCTGAGGTAGTTGGATCTCTGAGGATTAGAAGCCAGCCTGGTCCACATATTAAGTTCCAGATCAGCCAGGTTGAGAATTTACTTTAAAAAAATATAATGATATATGTATACATGTGTGTGTATATGTGTGTGTGTGTGTTTGTATGTTTGAATTCATTCCCTAAAGATTAATGAGGAAACAGCAAATTTAATAATTTCAAGTCAAGTTTGCAAAAAGATGACAACATTTATATCAGGCAAATTGGTATCAATCTCCTCCAGTGGTAAAGAGATGTGGACTGAATGGAGATTAAAAATGTTTCAGTAGTACTCTATTCACTCAAGTTACTAAAAGCAGAATATTATCATACAATTAGAGAAACAGAGTCTACTGTATGTAATGCTAGATTTTGTGTAGATAGCAAATGAACCCTCTAAGAAATTATTGTACAATATCAAAGTAGGAAGAAATAATATCTCTTCATTATAATCCAAAGGGAAACTGGATTGAAGTTTTTAAGATTAATACCAGTGCCCTATGTAATGTTTAGCATGCCTTACTCAACCAATCTGGATAACACCATGTTTTAGGAATTAAACATTTCCTTTATAGACTCTAAACTAACTGAAGTATAGGGTTGCATAAACAGTTTGAAGATGAGTAGGATTCCAGAAGGAAGCTGGGAGGTAGGGTTTTCCAGGTTGAAAGGGCAGCTTTAGCAAACACAGGTAGGTTCATGTTTCCATGGTATCAGCAATTGAATCCAGGGTTTTGTACATGCTTGGCAAGCATTCTCTCACTGAGCTACACATCACCAACCTAAAGGGGCTTTGCAAATGTTGTCAGGACAAGAGTTATCCTTTTACCTGCTGCACTTAGGAAGAGTTATGGCTGGCTAACTAAAGTATGCTAAAGTGTGAAAACATGCACATTTTACAGGTCTCACTCCAACTTAAAACACAAATAGCCTCTGTGGGTTTTGTTGTTTTTAACCTAATATCTCAACTTTTAATTGGAACGTGGTCCTCAGAGATCAACAGACTACAGATAAATCTTATCTCGATGCCTGTTTCTACAGTTTTTTTGGGACACAACCACGCTCATTTATTTATATATTATCTGTGGCTACTTTACAGTGTTCCCTCATTCGGGCCATCCAGAGAGATAAAAGTTTCTCCTGGAAAGAGATTTAAACTTGTTAGACACAACTTTTGTTTATTGCAGAAGACACAATGATATAGAGGCCACAGCTTGACTATTATTACTGCTTTCAGGCCCTCTACTGAAACTGCCTTCACTTCAGAATCCTGAAGGCAGATTGTAGGGGGAAGGTCACTGGATTTTTTTTTTTCCCCTTTTCCCAGTTTGGCCACATGGAAGAAATCTCTTCTTTGTCAGTTAAATTGTTTGGGAATTCTTTAGGATTCTTTTCTGACGGTTTGAGATAATATACACAGAGATAATATTTAAAAGCAATCCAAAGCCATATTTATTAGAATACAAGGTGACAAGTTTCCAATTAGATCAGCATGAAATGATTTATTCTCTACATGACATGATTAATATTTTTGGCTGGTTGGTTTGATTTTCAGACAGGGTCTCCATGTGTATCCCCAGCTATCCTGGAGCTGTGTCAACCAGACCAGCCTTCAAGTCACAGAGGTCCACCTGCCTCTGCCTTTCCAATGCTGAGTAAGATGCATGACATGATTAACATTTTAAAAATCCTGTTAGTTTAGGAGTCTGTGAAGGAAAAGTTTGTCTTTCTTAGGTAGGTAGCCCCTTTATTTCCCTAGTAATTCTAGAACATGGGGTCATGCAGATTGGTTGAGATGAGGTAAGGCATGGTAAACATTACTTAGGGTACTGATAGTAATCTTAAAAGCTTCAATCCAGTGTCCCTTTGGATTGTAATCTCAATTTCGAGTTGAGGAAAACAAAGATTCCAGACTGTAAATAAACTGAAATGACTGTTGTGAAGGTAACAATTAAGTGCAAGAAGTCTCTGATCCTTAGCTGGAATGGTGGCCTGTAATCCCAGCACTGGGGAGAAGAGGAATTCAGGATCAGAAAAGGCAAGTAGATAACAAGGTTGAGGCCAGCGTGTGCGTGTGCGTGCGTGCGTGTGTGCGTTCGTGCGTGTGTGTGTGTGTGTGTTAAATGTTTCTGCTTTAGGTCATTCCTTTGTCCTCTTGTTTCTAACTTGGTTCTGTTGTTGAGTTCATGTCCCAGAAGTGGAACAAGAGAGAAAAGATGACACAGTTACCACTAGAAAGTTGAAATGTTTATAGTGACAGGATTTCAACTGATGTCAAGTAAATCACCCAGAAAACTCTGCCTTTAAAATTTGCCAGGCAAGCTTGACTGGGGCAGGGAGTAGGGTAATAGGACGTTGGGTGCTCGTGCCTATACTCCCACATTCAGCTCTTAGCACAAAAAAGCCATCTTTAAACCAGGTCTCCTGTTCTTTGTAACTAGGTATGAAGTCTTATACTTAATACATTACAGTATTAAGTACACACACACACACACATACACACACACACACACCTTGTAGTAGTACTGGGAAGAAAATGCTTTTGAAGTTCTATGGCTTTGAGTTGTATCATTTTATGATTTAGGTAACATCCCCAAGCAGAGGAGGGGCCCATCCTTAGGAATGCAAACCCTGTGGAGAAGGAAGGGGTTGAGAAGGATCCACCCTACCTCTTTTCCTTTACACAATAACCCTAGGGTTTT